CATATATTTGAGTACTTGGTCATTAAGGAGTGGCGATACTTGATGGGATTAGGAGGTGTAGTCTTGTTAGAGTATGTATGGCCTTGTTAGAGGAAGTATGTCATTGAGGGTGGGCTTTGAGGTTTCAAATGCTCAAGCCCAGGCCCAGTTTCTCTCTCTCTCTCTCTCTCTCTCTCTCTCTCTCTCTCGCGCTCTCTCGCTCTCTCGCTCTCTCGCTCTCTCGCTCTCTCGCTCTCTTGCTCTCCTGTGTTTGGATCCCGTTATAGAACTCTCAGCTCTGTCTCCTGTACCATATCTGCCTGCCATCATGGTTCCCACTGTCATGATAATGGAATAAATCTCTGTAACTCTAAGCAATACCCCCACTTAAATGCTTTCCTTTATAAGAGTTGCCATGGTCATGGTGTCTCTTCACAACAATAGAATACTGACTAAGACAGTGTATAACAGAATTGGAGATATTTGTGTAAGCACATGTTTAGCTTAGTAAAAGACATGATAAGATGGCTCAGTGGATAGGGGCACTTACCACTCAACCATCAAGATGAGAGTTCAGACCCCAGCACCCATAAAACAAACTGGCAATCCCATACGTGCTTGTAAACTCAGCACCAAGCAGAGTCAAAAGGGTAGCTAGGGTTTGATGGCTTCCAGCCTAGCCAAGAAAACATGAGCTCCATGTTCAGTGAGAGGAAGATGTCAGATAGCTTCTTCTGGCCCCCACACATAGGCATCATGTGCACCCATGTATACACATACACTCTCACGGACACATACACAAATAAATAAGCCTTTTAAAAAAGGCTTCCAACTTTTATTGATTCTTTGCGGATTTGAAATCATGCATTCCGATCCCACTCATCTCTTCATCCTCTCCCATCCTCCCTCTGCTCTTGCAACCTCCCTCACCCAAAACAAAACAAAAATTAAAAGAAAAAACAAAGGCCAAACATAACAAATAAACAAAACAAAACAAAAAAGGGGGATGGGGAGAATCTCATCATGGAAGCTGTAGTGTGGCATGTAGAGTCCATTCATCTTTACTAGCAAGTGTTCGCTGCTGCAAGTCATTGGTCTATCCCAAGGCTTCTGGTTTCTACTACACCACTGATAATGGGGTACCACTGGGGTTCCTCTTGGATGTCATGCTGTTGTTGTCCTGTGTCATGGAGATCCTGCTGTTTTGGATCTGTAGGTTTGTTGCCTTCACATGCTCCAACAGTTCACAGATTTGGTGGATGTTGGGGTGGGCCAATTCATAGCCCTGGTTCTGGGCCTGAGTGGTAGCTGGGTTGGTCATCCTGCCAGTTTTCCCTCATTGTCACTACCCAGGTGAGCTCTCCAGCACTGCCTCAGCTAGCTCACCCAATGCAGCCGGCAGCAAGCAGCAGGGCTAGTTCTCTTGCTCTCAGGTCCTCAGATCTGGCTCACCCACACTCATGCCACCAGGGACATTTCTACTATTTTGCCCAGGTGAGGTTTAGGGCCCTCTCTCCCAATTGCTGTAGGGGTAGGGGCGGCTCTCCCATGCTGCTCTCACGCCCTCCAGGATGGCCTATCCTCATAGGGTGACCTGTAGTGTGCTGCCCAGACAGGGTGCACACCTGAGGTGAGGGGTGGGGCCAAGTGTGTATGTGATAGGTATGGTGGGGGGAGCTCTCCCCTGAAGGGCAGGTCCAGCTGTCCTGTTGCAGTAACCAGAGAGTAACAGGACCAGCTATACAGGGCCAGTGAAGACCAGGGCTGGCTCAGCACAACATGGCTACATGGGCCATGAACATCATCACAGCCCCAGCTGCATTGGGACCATGGACCCAGACATGGCCCTGGGCAGCAGCTCAGGCCTGGATGTCACCATGGCCCATAAATAAATCTTTCATAAAGATATATGGATGATTATTATGGAGGCAAATACAGAATACATATTTCCTTCCTCTATCAGCCAAGAGGGCATAGAAACAATGAGACCCAACTAGCACTCAGTGCCAAGAGATCAGCTTCTAATTACATTCTTAACTAAAGATACCATGTCCCTAGGGAGACAGCTATCTGTAGAACTGGAGATGATACATAATAGACAAGATGCGCCTGAGATGGCTTTCACTACAGGAAGTACTAAAGTTAACTTAAATGAGCAATGAAGTCCCAAACAAAGACAACATTTGCACAGTGATGAAGGAATGTCTGAATGGCACAGGACCCACGTGAATGTGCTCTCAATGGTGAAAGCTGGCAAAATCATGGAACAAAATATGGTAGCTCCAGCTTTCAGGTCAAAGTTCATGGCAAATATTCATAATTCTAAAACTGATAGAAAAAAAAATGGGAGACACGGTTTCTGTGCAAAAGAATTTCAAATAACCTAGACAGAAGCTCTATCATGGATCGAATGGAGCAAGATTCTGTACACCTCAAGTCTGGGCCTCACATGTGACTGTCATCTAGGAGCACAGTGTGGAAAAAGGGGAGGGTAACATTACAGTGGGGAGACATGACAAAAACTATCTAAGTCAGACAGCCCAGGTCCTGGTGACATGTGCCTTTGTACAATGTGATTCACAGGGCAGGTGATTTCCATGACCTGCCCCAGGAGAATCGGGAAAACAAACTCTACAAAGGGGAATTCTATAAGAACCACAGCTTGCTTCAAAATTGTCAAGACAGTCAAGCTCATAAAAACCAAAAAAATTTTCAAAACTGACCGCCAAAAGGCAGTGAAAGGGGTGAGGTGATAATGCATAGTGTGGCGTCCTGTGTGCACTGCAACAGCAAGTGTAATAGGTACAAGCTGAAAAAAATGAGTAAAGAATAGGATTTAATTGGTTTTTAAAAATTAGTTTGGGTTTGTTAATTAGAGTAAATAGATTTTGTCAGTGTAAGGTGTTAGCACTAGGGGCTACTGGATGTGAGAACACGGTAACTCTCTGTTCACAGATTTTTTTTGTAAATGCAAAACTACTTTGAGGAAGTTAATTTCTTTAAAACAACAGTGTTGTGGCATATTAGTTATTTGTTACATTCTTTTATACTCTGAAATATTTGTTTAATGATGCAAAGATATGTTGCTTTCTTTTATGTTGAATTTGTTTAACTCTTTGAAGCTGTGATACTTTGCCTGCCTAAAACACTTGATTTGTCTAATAAAGAGTTAAAAGGCCAATAGCTAGATGGGAGAAAGTATAGTGAGGCTGGCATGCAGAGAGAATAAATAGGAGGAGAGAGAGAAGGAAGATTGAGAAAAGAGGAAGGAGAGGAGAATCCTGGGACCAGCCACACAGACACACTGCCACACAGCCACACAGCCAACCACAAAGTAAGAAGGAAAGAAAGGTATACTGAGAGAAAGGTAAAAGCCCAGAGGTAAAAGGTAAACAAGATAATTTAAGTTATGAAAAGCTGGCTAGAAACAAGCCAAGCTAAGGCCAAGCATTCATAAGTAAGAATAAGTCTCCATGTATTTATTTGAGAGCTGGGTGGCAGGCCCCAAAGAGCAAAGAGTAAAAGAGTTAAAACAAAAACAAAAACAAAAACAAAACAAAAACCCTACATAGCAGTACACACCTGTAATCTCAGTTGGAGGCAAGAGGATATAAAGTTCAAGAGTGCAGCCCTGATCCCTTTTGATCTTGGTTCAGGGTGAACAGTACATACTGGACTTGCTTTTAGAAAGTATCAGGGGTGGGGACATGATCCAGTGACAACCCCAAATGAGGAGGCCAGATGGCTCATGGAGAATGACTGGATTTTGGAGGACTAGATGACAATGTCCTTAAGCCATGCTATCCCAAACTTATCTTTTTTTGATAACTTCCAATCCCTTCCCTACCACCCCACCACCATTCTTAACTCTCAAATGCACATGTTCTGGGTTTGAAAACTCACTGAATGTACTTAGTGCTGCCTGTATATGGGTGTGGGAACATCTACTGGACCATGAGAAGCCTGTCATGTTTTGCATCCCTGAAGAAAAGGAACTCACTCAGCAAGTCATCAATTACTAATAGCTCTCCAGCTGTGGGGTGGGACCTATCCTGACTCACTTTGTCACTTGATACTCCTCCAGGACGAAGTTCTCCTAGTACCTCTCAGCAGCTTCCCTTAGAACCATATGCCCCCACTCATATTCTCTTTTGAACTTGGAGTTTTCTTAATTGCATATCTTTCAAAACATCACCCGAGATCTAGTAACTGGTATGTTTCAAGGCAAACTTAAGTCTATGCAGGCGTTTCTTATTGAGGAGTGGAGATGGGTCTTAACAACCACTCTGAAAAGAAAGTCTTTGTTCCTATTGTTGAATTGAGCATGGTGGGGGTGGGAGCACTCAGTTCTAGTCTACACATTCATAACTTCCTGAAGTCCATTATTGTATATGTACTCTCAGTCTTTGAAAGTTCTTCCCACATCCATTCTTCTGAAAATAGGAAATCAATAATCACTTCTACAAGACCTAGACTCCTACATATACAAACTCTTGAGTGCTTAAAACCTAACCCTAATTTCTGGGAAGATTTTGAAGAGCACTGAATCTGAAGTCAAGATGGCCTCAGTTCACATCTCACTTGCGGTTGAACTAGACGTATCCTCCCATGAATCCTTTAAGTCTGGGTTTGCTCATGTGTGTCAGAACTCTGAACATTGCTGCTGTGTGTGTCTCACTGTACCCCTGAGGCTTTGTCAACAGGGAAGAGCTGAAGAAGGTACAATCTTGGATATCTCCAATCTTCACTAACTTTCCTTCCTGCTCTTTCTGCTCACTTTCATCTGATGGCTCAGCTGGTAAAGGCAACCACTACAAAAGCCTGAGGATATGAATTTGATACCCAGGAACCAAAAGGTAGAAGGAAAGATCAGAGTCCCACCAGTTGTTCTCTACATCTACATCGAGCCATTCGTGTGTTTCTTCCCCGACACCAACAATAAAAATACATAGCAGAGTGTGGTAGCACATGCCTTTAATCAGCACTCTAGAGGCAGAGACAGGCAGATCTGTGAGTTGGAGACCAGCCTGGTCTACAGAGTGAGTTCCAGGACAACCAGGGCTACACAGTGAGAAACCCTGTCTCAAAACAGTAAAATTAAATAAATTATACAATAATGATTATTGCATTTCTTGTTGGGAAAAATCTCAACACAGGAAAGAATGAAGGCTATCACTAACATTCTCAGAAGAGTGAAATTTCAGGGAAAGATGAAACAGCCATTCTTCACTCTGTCCCTGTCAGAACTAGCATCCTGAATTACTTCACACAACTCCTCTAAGAACCAGACAGACCTGGATGGAGGACTGTGGATTGGATTAAAATTAACAGCCATGTTCAAGTAACAAAGTGACATGAAATGACAAAAGGAGAATGCAAATGAGAGATTTCAGCAATCAATCTACTGGACGTGTTGAGAAACAATTATGTTTCTAAAATAAGTTCGCCAACATTCCCCAATTCAAGTGCTGAGAAAGTGTACTTGCTGTCATACCTATGTGTAGGTGTGTGTGTGTGTGTGTGTGTGTGTGTGTGTGTGTGTGTGTGTGTGCTCTATATCATATATGTATTTATCTCCGGGATATGCCGTCATTTCCTCGGTGAAGTCAACAGGGTCCCACTGAGATTCTGTCATCAATTATTGTTGGAATGTGGCTAAAAAGGGAAAGAATTTGGAATCAGTAACCTTGGGCCCAGGTTGGTTCCCCTGGTTAGAAGCTGCTGCCGTGTCCCCAGTACATTCTAATCCACCTAATGGGCAGTTTTGAAAGGATGCATCGCACTGTGTGAAGAGAGAGGGATTCAAATGCTGCGCATACAGCGGCAGTAGGGTGAGCTTCGCAGATTCCCAGCTGCAAGTCACTAAGGTGAATTGAAAGGGTCTTTGCCTGGAGTTCTTTCTTTCGCGCTCCCGGTCTGGCCCAGGGTTAGACAGACACCCCAGTCTCTGCTGCGTTCCTGGTGGCCCTCGGGCTCTGTGGTCCCTGTCCTCCCGCGCTTCTCTCGCGCCTCTGCCTCTTGGTGCCTGGGATGCCGGGTGCCTCTGGGCAGGGAGCCCGGATAGGCGGGTCTCGGGAGGCGTCGGACTGGGGACCTACCGCCCAGCGCTGGGGAGTTCCCGCTGTAAAGAAACCGATGGGTGAGAGTCAGGTCGCGTCTCCATGGCAACCTGGTGGGACCAGTGACCAAAGGCCTAAGACTGGCGCAGGGAGCGCAGGGAGCGCAGGAGCGCAGGGAGCGCAGGTAACCAGTGGGCTCTGTGGACCCGGGACCAGGACCCTCTCTTCGGTGGCAGCAGCTGGCGCAGGGATGGCAGGGACTACATGCTGGGCAAACTCAGGAGATAAGCTTCCATCAGAACCATGGCCTGTGCCTCAGTTCCCCTCTTTTATTTGTCTGTACTTTCTGATCTAGTTTTGCCTTCTATTACCTACGTCTGCCCCACTTCTGCAATTCCTGTGGTGTGGAAATGATGTGATTGGAGATTCTTTCTCCCTCCTTCCTCTTCTTCCTCCTCCCTTTCCCCTCCCCCTCTTTTTTCTTCCTTTTTCCTTCTCTCTCTTCTCTTTTTCCTCTTCCTCCCTCTTCTTTCTCTCCCTCCATCTCCCTTCTCGGGTATTTAATTGGTTGGGACAGTTCTTAGGAGGGTTTAAATTCATTTTAACACTTTGTTCATTTACCTTATAGGTTAGTCCACAGCTGGGACAATTGTGTGTGTGTGTGTGTGTGTGTGTGTGTGTGTGTGTGTGTGTGTGTGTGTAGGTATATAGGTGCAGGTGCTCTCACAGGGCAGAAGAGGGCATCAGATTGCCCTGGGGCTAGAACTATAGGTGGTTTTGAGCCACCTGACCATCTCTGGGGTCCTCTATGCATTCCAACTGCTGGACCATCTCTCCAGCCCTTTTCTTAGATTTTTCTGCCCTAAATTTCCTGCTTCGTTCACTCTTTTAAAAGGTCAAGAAAAGACAATGAAAGAATACATACACTCAAAGGCAAAGCATAGGAACTCCATTAAGGTGGGACTCTTGAGGGCTTCCAGACAGCACTCCTCTAAGCAGGAATTATGAACTGAGCACTCCACAAGGCAACGGACACCGAGCTGCCACTGAGTTAATGATGAATGCATGCTGGTTTCAGGCACTACCACATATTTCAACCAAGGGCTGAGCCAGTATTTCTATCTAGCTGGAAGTACTTCCTTCCAGCTAATGAAGCCTCATCCACTTCTGTGCTTGTAGAAGCAAGAGCCTCCATACTCAGAAAAGCCATACTAAATAATGACTTACCAACAGCAAGAAAATCATCTTATATTAATATTTGTAAGCATTTTACAAATCTAAATAATTTCCTCTCACAGATTAAAACTCAAGAACAAGCCAGATGTAGACCTTTCTTGGCATGGAGAATCAAGCCCATGCTACAGCAGGGTAAGTGGTACAGAAACTTCTATTTACTGAGTTTATCTTTATGCCCAAAACTGCTTGATGGAGCACAAGTTTTGAAATGAATTGTTACAAGAAGAATGTGCTGACTGTTTTTGGTAAGTGGACTGGGGGAAATTTCAAATAACTTCTGAAGAATGTATTTGGTGAGTCTCCCTATGTATGAGGAGAGTCTGGCTCTACCTGAAAGACAGCTCATTCAGTGACCTGTTGGCATCACAGGAACAGACCCAGGCTGGTCTCCTCAGCTCTTACGTGTCCACAGCACAACACTTCCTGGCCAGCTAGCTCCTTTCTTGCTGTAATGATTGTTTCTCTGCTCCTGTTTTTAAGACCACGTCTTCTCAACATTCAAACATAGCCCTGCAATACACATATTTCCACAGAAAGCAAAAATGGGATATTCTAGGTAAGGAATGGAGATTAGAAAACATTCACTGTGGTAGAAAATGGACCAACATCCTTTCACAAATATCGGTCCCACCTCTTATTGGCATCAGCACCATGAAGATTTCCCTAGCCATCTGGCCAGTGGCTGGTCTCAAATTGAAGACAGCAGTGGTACTTCAGAGCCCAGTCTTGATTGTGACTGCTTTTGACTCTGGTCACAACTGTAGGTGTCGCTCTTCCAGTGATCTGCTTAGGCTATCACCCTGACACCAGGTAAAGGAAAACAAAGAAGTGTAAACAGTGATGACCACATTCTTTGCCCTGCCGCCTTACTTATTCTCAACAAGAAACCAGGATGTATTACAGTATAGCTGAAGTCCCTGAAACAAACAAACACACACACACACACACACACACACACACACACACACACACACACAGGTGCAGAGCCTTAAATAACATGAAAGCTCATCTCTATCTCAGACTGTGTGGTTTCATCTCTAGACCCAAAGTGATTGCTTCCACTTCAGTCCTCGTGACTGTTTGCCTTCATCAAGGCAATAGTCTTAATGAACGGGAAGGAAGGAAGGAGGGACGGAGGGGAGGGAGGGCGGGAGGGGAGGCAGGAAGGGAGGAAGGAAGGAAGGAAGGAAGGAAGGAAGGAAGGAAGGAAGGAAGGAAGGAAGGAAGGACTTTCCTTCTAGGAGAATGCCTAGAGATATCAGGCCTCAACTGTGTTCACTAACATTGGCCAGAGCTCAGTCTCAGCTGTAAGAAGGGCTCAGAAATGTGGTCTTCACCTCAGTAGCATAGGTCCACCTACAGTTTAGAAATCTCACGTGTAGCTGGTGCTGAAGTTAGGATCACTGGGCTTATAACCCTTGCATGCCTGTGTGAAGCTGTAAACAGTTGGTAGGAACCACCCTCAGATTTCTAATCTGCATCTTCTTTTGTAGACTAGTGATCTGTGGACAGTGCTAGTGAGCTCACACTCTCAGTTAGCTGTGCAGTGGTGAGAGCAGACCATCATCACACCACATAACACAGAGTGGCTGATCTGGTGATGCTCACTTTGTAGGCATATTCGGTGCCTTTTCTACTTGTGGCATTTTCAATATATAATGGCCCTGACCAGCATAGCCAACACCACTGTAAGTTGAGAGGTATCTAGAAGGGTTAAGAGTGACCATTGCTGTATCCCCAGCAGACTCTGCCCTCTGAACCTCAGAGAGATGGCCAGAAGAAAGTAAGGATTTACCTCCAGGATAGAACACTGGTCAGCAAAGGAGTCAGGGTTTGAATGGAAATACATCTGCCTCCCAACCCTGAATTCTTTCTATACTGGAAATGGATTGTATTGAGATGTGAGGGGCAGCCTGCTTAGAGTCCACATCACAGTCAAATCACAATGAGCATGTGTGGGGTCCCTAGTGTGACTATGACACTAGAGTACAGTAAGACAGACTAAGGCCTCAAGCAGAGGGTAGCAGATGGTCTCAGTCCTGCAAATCTGAAGGCCTGGCTGGTTCTCTGCATCCGTTCTTTGAAAACAAAGTAAGTTGTGCTGAGTGTTTAGCCCTGAAATGCAGAGGTTATTTAAAAACCGATCTGGTCCTTAAAGAACTTAGACTTTATTGGAAAGAGTTATACTTTTTTGGATACAGATAGTTACAGAGCAGAAGTTAATGAGCACACCACAGTTGTCCTGAAGGACTGTCACTCATCCTGGTAGGCACGTGGCCAGACACTGTGTTCCCTGGTCTCCAGAGCACAGAGGCCACCGACTCTCATGCTGCTAAGGAGCCAGTGACTGTGGATCGTTCTCCAGGGACGTGTTAGCAAGTTCAGAAACTTGTTCCTCTCATGTTTCTTGAAACAGCCGGCTTTCAACAAGTATTTGGCACCTACTGTGAGCTTGTGTCTATCTAAAACTATATAAATATGCAAATATGTATCAAACACTGATAAGAAGAGGAAGGTGTGTGTGCAATACAAAAATCCATTTGGTTCTGTGCATTACCAAAACCAAACCAAAACAAAGTCTAATTGTGTTGGTGCCCACCCAGTTTTCTACTCCAAAAGGCAACCACTTTCAATTCTTTAGCAGGAGCTCTCTCCCAAAGGCCTTTGGTGTCAAACTCAGTATCTTCAGATAATGTGCTTTACTTGATTTTTTTAGTTTTGGGCAATGTCTATTGGCTTTTACACTGGACATCTCTGTGTGTGTGTCTCTCTCTCTGTCTCTCTCTGTGTGTCACTCTCCTCTCTCTCTCTCTCTCTCTCTCTCTCTCTCTCTCTCTCTCTCACACACACACACACACACACACACACACACACACACACACACACACTTTTCACTCCTTTATCATCCAATAAGCCATGATTTTGGTAGCATCAATAGTCTCCATATGTCTTCATAATAGTCTTCTTATGACTTTATAAGTCACATCCATCTTGAGGTCTGACTGGGATAAATTTTCCTTCCTGCTTGTCGGAGCCTGCTACAACGAGTTAGCTGGGTTACCTAAGTAGGGGTGTGAGGGTTGACAAAAGGCAGATAAAAGTAACAGAGACAGAAACACAGCATAGATTTAGGAGGACTGCCTGGTCCACACCTTTCAGCACACCGGACAGCCTAAATTTAATTTAATTTAGACCCTGTTTATATACAGACTAGAGGCAAAGCAGAACAAGAGCAGCACAGTCAATTAACCAGCTCCCTGCACTGTCCTTGAATCAAGGAGCAGCCAGGTTCACTATCATGTGAGTCCTGCTAGCAGCAAGCAGCTGCATTCCCTATCTCTGTGTGCCTTTCAAGAGGTATCATAAGCTTGTTAGTTAGATAATATGTTCTTTTCCATGGGCTTAATCAGAACTTTCTCATGGCTCTCAGGGAGACTGAAAGAAGCAAGCTTGAACTCTAATGTCTTATGTCAGAATAGACTCCAGATGGAAACTGAGTCACCTGTGGGCTCCCAGACCTGCTCAGTTTTAACTTCCTGGAGTTAGCAATCCTGACACCACAAATTTGTGAAGTCTTCTTTTTTCTCCACGGTTTCCTTCTTTAAAAGGGGGTAGGAGTGGGATTTCATCTATAGAAGAAAGATGTAAAGTTTGTTTTAAAATAAATCTTTTAAAAATTATCTTTTAAAAAAGTCTCTCTCTTTGGACCTACCCATCTTCTCTGTCCTGTGAACTGCTTTCCTTGAGCCCCTGAGCTCACTTCTTAGCCAATCCAGGAGCCACCCACGGTATGGTGCCATCAGCACTTAGTGGGCCTTCCCTCTAGAAAGCCCCTCACAGACATGCACAGAGGCTTGTCTCCCTGGTGAGTCTAGATCCTGTCAAGTTCAAAATCACTATTAACTACCACAAGTTGATACTTGATTCCCACAATTTTTGCCTTTTGTAGGTTTAACTGTACAGGTTAAGAATATGTGTTTTCTTCTTTTTAGTAGGTCTTGAGAAAGAAGCCAGTTTTGTGGGTTCATCTATCTTTACCCAAAGCCTCATTTTCGTCTGTTGAGTCTCTTACATTCTCTTCATTATTTGACCAACTCCTGAGCAATGGGTCTCTTTCACAGACTCAAAGGGGTTCTAAAGATCAGGATGCCACTGCACATGCCAGTGAACTCTTCTCGTCTTCCAGAGAAGCGAGAAAGGCTGAGTCTTAAAGAGCACCTTCCCATCCGAATTCCAAAAAGTCCTCCCTGACACTGCTTCCTCTACGTATGTCTTCTTAACCCTCAAGGGTCCTTCCCCCAGGAGACACAGAATCATAGCGTCCATTGCTTGTTTCCTGTTGGGTTAAGTACAGTTTTATTTATACTTGGTAAAAAGAAATTCTGATTTTTCTGATCTAAGCCCCTACAGCAGGACCACAATGAATAGTAACAGTACATCCTTTCTGTGCATGGAAAATTCATTTTGATTGACTTCAGTGACTTCTTGTGACTTCTGACTGGCCCAGGCCACACACACCTTCCTGTTTCCCCTGGAGAGGAGGCCAGCACTTTCCAACTGACACCCATTCTCTGCCCCCCTCCCTGTGAGCTTCCCTGCCTTGTGCTCCCCTCCCTGTGTGCTCCCCTGCCTTGTGCTCCCCTCCCTGTGTGCTCCCCTCCTTGTCTGCCCCCCTCTCCATCTGCCCCCTCCCTGTCTGTTCACTGAAAGGTTTCTCACAATGTGAAAAGTTATTACAGAGCATGTCTGTGATGTGTCCATTTTAACATACCATCCTGCTTTCAGAGGGAGAAAAAGGTGATATTTTGTTTTCATGTCAATGGTGAGGCTGGGAAATCATAGAGCTTTTCATCTCTGATAGGGGCTCCCTTTCACCACCAGGGCAAAGGCTTTAGAACAGGCCTTCTTCATGCATTCATGTACCCCTTCATTAGAATGAGGATGTTTGCAACACCTCCACATCCATTACGCTTCTGGCAAATGAAAAGGAGGACTAGATAGGACATGTGCCTCCATCACACGCAGGCAATGAAAATAGGCATTGACTACTGCTAACTCAGCAAACACCCAAGACAATGATAAATATGTGTTTAGATGACAACGAAAGTGCCTGAGGAAAAGTATGTCCATGATTCGGTAATTAGTTTTGAGGAAGGAAACCATGAAGCATGAACCTGTAGGATTGCACAGAACAGCACTTCCATAGTCCAGTAGAACGGGCACCACACTGACCACCATGAGATCATGGCAGTTGGTTAGACAGCTTCTGGTCACCTCCAGGTCCCCTTGGTCTACATCTGTGTCTGCATGTGCTGCAGTGTCTGACATAAGCCACCTATGAAAGGTGGAATTACATGCAGCAGCCTGTTAACTCAGAGGAACAAGTACACAATCTATTTCAGAATGAGTTTTCTTAAGAGAGTTTGACAAAGGTAAGGTCTCCCGAGCTTGCTCACCAGCCTTGAAAACTCATTTTCAGATAGATGATCCCATGTCTCTTAAAGGAAGATGCTCTTTCCCTGTCTCCTTCCTCCCATGTTTACATGATGAGGTTCCTCTCTTTCTCTCTCCCAAGCTCCAGACCCATGTTTGATGGAATACCTCACTACCTCCCAGTACAGCGCTGATGTAATTTTTACGAGTGTGGTTTTCTTCACTTTCAGAGCTGCCTTGCTTTAGATAATGTCACAAGGTCATCACAGTTGGGCTGATGCTATTCAGCTGTCTGTTTAAGAACCAGAACATGAAAACAGACATGGTGGCACAGGCCTGTAATCACAGGATTCTGGAGGCTGAGGCAAAATGGTTGCTATCATTCTGAGGCCACCTGAGCTATATCCTGAGTTCTGGGCCAGCCTGAGCAACAGAGGGAGACACAGTCAAACAAATAACACAAAGGACCCTAAACAGAAACTCCTTGAGGCAAGAATCCACCAACTGCATCACCCTGATCACTTCTGGAAACTTCCACATGTCTTTTATGCCCTCTATTTTTATTTCTTATTTATGTATTCACAAATGACATTTTTGCATATTCAGAGGCTGGGTACAATGTGAGGGTTTGAGTCATGTACACACAAGACAGAATGAGCATGGTTGGGTGCTCAGTTTTGTCACCTTAAATTTCTATTGTTTCCTACTGACAAACACAATGATTAGTCTGTCCTACACATTTTGAGGTGTGTGGTGTTTACCACTGACCATATTCACTGTGCTATGCCACAAAACACCAGAACCTAACTCTCATCAACAGTTTCATATCTGTCTCTCACCTCTCTCCCTCCACCCAGTCTGGTAAGGGTCATCATGCTGTTGGCATCTATGAGAGCAGATGTTCCAAGTCTACACGAATAGATGTCAAGTGTCTGACTGTGAGGATGCACTTTACTTCATAAACATCCTCCATCTCCATCCATGCCGTTACAAATGTCAGGACTGCAAATAGATTTTTATGGCTGAATAGTATTCCACTGCATCTTTGTACCATGCACTCTTTGCCATCTGGTGGTCTGGAAGACATTTGGTTTGAGTTTGTGTCCTGGCTCTTCTAAATAGTAATAAATTTGGGTTGTGGGTACCTTTTCAACAAGCAAATTTAGTTCACTTCAGGTGTAAAACCTGCAGTGGGATTGCTGGATCACATTGTAGCTCTATTCTGATTTTTAGAAACTTCCATGATGGCTACATTAATTGACATTCCCACCAACACCGCACAAAGGTTCTCTTGTTGTACCCTATCACTTGTTCTTTTCCTCTTGATAATAATCATTCTCCCTGTGGTGAGACCCTAAGTAGACAAAGCAATCTTGAGCAGAAAGAGTAGGTCAGGAGTCATTGTACCTCGGAACACACTAAAACATGGCATCAGCATAAAGACAGATACACCCTTGCCCAGCCTTGATATGAGGGTTTGTACCTAGTTTTATTGTAACTTGTTAAGCTGTGTTCAGTTGATATCTCTGGGTAGCCTGCTCTTTTTTTTTTTTTTTTTTTTTTTTTTGGAAGGGAAATGGAGGAGGAGTAGATCTGAGGAAGAGAGGAGTGGAGGGAGGGGAGGCTGTGCTCAGAATGTTATGTATGAGAGAAGAGTAAAGGAAAAAGAAAAGAAAGACACACAGACCAATGAAGCAGAACAAAGCCCACAAATGACCCCATGAATTTACAGCCAATTGAATTTTTACAAGTTGCTAGAAACATGGGGAAAGAATAATCTTCTCAATAAACTGCTGGGAAAGCTGGATATCCATATAGAAGAAAGAATCTACATTTTCACCAGATACAAATAGCAACTCAAAAAGATTAAAGTCTGAAATATAAGACCCCAAACTAGGATACTACTAGGAAAAGGCATAGAAGAAAAATTGGGGGACCTTGATTTTGCAGTGATTTTTTATAGAACCCTGGAAATACAGAAAACAAAAATTAACAGATGAAATTCCACTAAACCAAAGTTTCTTCCTAGCAAATGAAGCAATCAACAGAACACAGATGACAATTGACAGAATACAGGCAGCCAGTAGGACACAGATAATACTCAACAGAACACACAAAGGTGTTTACAAATTATTTATCTTGACAAGAGGTTAATATCCAGAATACACAAGAAACTCAAACAATGTAATAGAAACCCTCAGACAAGATGGCCAAAAAATTGGCTTAGGCCCACACCTTCAGCCTAAACTTACTTCCTCTTCCACCCCTGCTGCTCTAACCACCATGATATCAGCTGTTCTCTTCTCTCTTCTCCAGATGTCATGTCCTAGTGTTTAATCCCAGACTATTCCAGGCCTTTGCCCTCTCCCTTCTGACCTCCATGTCAAAGACCTAATGCTGAAGGGTCTGGCCTGACCCAAGAGCCTTCTCTAGTGAGTTGTTCTCACAGATAAACTCAAAGATAAAGATTGAGTTTACATTCCTGAAGCAAACACAGCCCACCCAGTCTCCAAATCTGATGACTCTAAGAGTTCTTTTTATTCCCTTTTGACTCCTCAATCAACTTCTAAAATCAAGATATAATACCTACTAAGGGGGGAGGAATGTTGGAAGGACCCAAGAGGGAAAGTAAAGAAAAATCCTTAATATAACATAACATCCTATAATATAAAGAACACTCATGCCAAACTACATGAAGGAGAATAAACCACCACTTTTAATTTTTATTTTAAAGTTCACTAAAGCTGCAGTTTTAAAATCACACTAATTTTCTTACCAAATGCACATTTACCTTCTCTCTCTCTCTCTCTCTCTCTCTCTCTCTCTCTCTCTCTCTCTCTCTCTCTCCCTATGTATCAGCAACAAGCAGTAGCCACACCACAGACTGGATTCTATGCTGTCCTGAGACAAACAAACAAAACAGTCTTTTGCTTTTGAATTCTGCCTCACTCAAGTTCTCAGGACATGAACAGAATAAAGCCCTATTCTTTACAGAATATAGACATGCTATCAATAGAAACCTCTAGAGCCTGACCTCCACTGTCAACATCTCTCTTAGCATTCTATTCTTGCAAACCCTCTAGAATGGCCCATTAAACTCTGCTTTTAGCAATCCCAAACTGTGAAACACATACAAAGGCCTATGAACCACATGATCAGGTGGTCACAGCAATGACCTTACTCCTTAGTAACAATTTTCTGTAAAATTAGCTTTTCTACTTTTTGTGACAAAATGTCTATCAGAATCAGCCTGAGGGTATGTCTTAGTTACTGTTCTATTGCTGTGATAAAGCACCCATGACCAAGGCAACTTACAGAATAAAGTGTTTAATTGAGCTTATGGTTCCAGAGGGTTAGAGTCCATGATGGAAGAACAAAGGCATGGTGGCAGGAACAACTGGGAGTTTACATCTTGAGTTACAAGTAAGAGGCAGAGAGAACTAAGGAGGGATGAGGGGAAGTTTTGAAATCCTCAAAGCTCACCCTCATGACACACCTCCTCCAACCATGAGCCTATGGAATCCATTCTCTTTCAAGCCACCAAAGGAAGAACATTTGGTCTTGTGGGTTGAAGGAATTCAGTGAGTCATGATGGGGAGACAGTGTAGCTGGTGTCTTGCATCTCTCTGTAGCTGGAAACAAAAGGATGAATGCTGGTGCCCTGTGGGCTTCCTGGTTCACCTCCCCTCTTTTACTCAACCTGGTCAACTTCCTTGTGCTTAACATAGGTCTTTCCTCCTCAGTTAAACTTCTCTGATGACACCCTCACCAATCCACCTGGAGCTTGCTTTCTAGGTGTTTCTAAGGTCTTGTCAAGTTGGCAATGAAGCCTGAACATCGCACCTGCATTTGCAGATTCGAGGCAAGGCAGACATGTGGAAAATCTTTGTAGGAGAGTAAAGACTTTGGGTTTACTGTGGTTGAGGGCTCTTGGCACAGAGAGGTTAGAGAGAGGATAACTAGATCTGAGGCATCCTATTTATCTTTCTCTAAGTTGTTTCTGAGCTGGGAAGGGGGACAAAAATCAAGGAAACTCAGTCACCATACTATGACATCTGGTGACACCAGCAGACTTGATGGTTTGGCTTTCTGACCTGGCTGGTGCAGAACATGCAGGTCAAAGTCTGCTGTCATGGGGTCTGGCTTCCAGCCACTTGAATATCCAGACTCTGGTACTGACCATTGAGAAGACAGGGTACAACCAGAACTGTACCCCACACATTAATGGCTCAGTACTGTGTGGTTGTACTGTGTTGAAAGTCCTGAATGACCTCAGGATCAAGGACTAGGGAGTGGGAATGAAGTCACCGTGAAACAGAACACTTCTTGCTAATGTGATATCATCTCAGAGAGTGGCAGTTACTTGTTCAGGAGGGACCTCAGACCTATGCTGGGGTATATCTTTGCAGTGTTTTTGCAATATATAGGAATACAAACTGTAGGGATCACTTGATACTTTGTTACTGACCAGTATCCTATCAAAGGCCTACTGAGTCTGTTTAGTGCTGTGTGTAATAGACACTCTCTTAAGAACTACTTGTGGAAGGAATGCACATGTTGGAACAATAGGTGAGTTAGAAGGCCTGTGTGTGTAATTTCTTCTGCCCTGAGAGTCTTGTATCCTAGCTCATCATACCATAATCATAGCCAGGAAACAAGCCACTCATTTATTAATTTAACAGTGTAAGTGGGGTAGATTCCTTTACTCTACACTCTCCGTTGGGCCGGTATATGAATTCCATTAGCTCATCGCATTCCTATATACCAAAGAAATGTCAAGAAAAAGAGTTTCCTTTTTCACTGCAGAGGTGTATTGAGCACCTTCAGTTGACCATGTCCTGGAGCACTTCCCACATGAGGGAGCACTTGCCACATGGTGAAACACTACCTACATGTTAAAGTATACACCATATGCCGGAGCATTTCCTCTGTGCTGGAGTGTTGCTCTGGGTTATGGTGAGGCAGTGATGAGCAAGACTAACAGTTCTTTCTTTCTCAGCCTATATAACAGAAAGAAAATAAAGTTTATTTACACCAAAGAGTATACAAGTAGTTATGAAAAGACAGTGTAAAAATGAAAGGCCAGGGTTTCATGAAGATTCTTCTCAACATCTTCACTCCAGTTAAAAGTTAGTCATGCTCTCTGTGGAAGAATTAACATACTTCCTCTCCTTGGGTTTAAGGTTTAAATGAAAATTGAAAGAGCCTTTGGGCCTTAGTCCAGGAGTACCATGAGAAGGCTTCAAAGTGACACTTTGTACTTAGCCCCTTGCAGATGTCAAGGCTGGTGGAAGTCCCTCTGCATAAACTAGAGAGACAGCATCACTCAGTACAGGGGTGATTCAGGAAACACGGGATTGGGGGTGGAGTGCGTTATTGTGGTCAGTACCACAGATTTTAAATCAGTTCTTGTAGAAGGACCTGTTTTCACTTCATGGTACAAAGACTCCACAGACGGGAAGCTAAGGCCTATGTCTGACACTTCTACAGATAAGCTATGTGACTGTGGACCTGACAGACGTCCCAATGTGTCTCTGTCACACCTCCTAGAGTTATGACAGACATCTCTGTGAGTCTATTTTCACTTGTTGGATCCCTAAGCACTTAGCATTTGTTCAAATTACCATATCCACAATAATTAGCATATTCTAAAAAAATGGTGTTTGTTAGATTTGGTTTGGTTTCAGTTTTGTTTTGGGGGGTTGTGAGTGAGTGTGTGTGTGTGTGTGTGTGTGTGTGTGTATGTGTGTGTGTGTATGTGTGTGTGTGTGTGTGTTTAGCTTTTTTGTTTTGTTTGTTTTGAGTTTTGTTTTGTTTTGTTTTTTGATAAGTGTCTGAAACTCACTATATAGTCTAATTGGCTGCCTGAACAATCCTTTTGACTCTGCTTCTTGAGTCCTGGGATTATAGGAGGGTAACAATATTTTTTGTATAAGTACAACTGTAATGTGCTAGCTAGTCTTATGTCAGTGTAACACAAGCTAGAGTCATCTGAAAGGAGAGAACCTAGATTGAGAAATATCTCCATAAAATCTGACTGTAGGACATTTCCTTAATTAATGATGAATAGGGAGGGCCCATCCCATTGAGGATGGGGCTATCCCTGGGCTGGTGGTCCTGTGTTCTACAAGAAAGCCGACTGAGCAAGCCATGAAAAGCAAGCCGGTAAGCAGTGTCCCTTCGTGGCCACTGCATCAGCTCCTGCCTCCAGGATCCTGCCCTGCTTGAGTTCCTGTCCTGACTTCCTTTAGTGATGGACTACAGTGTGGAAGTATAAGCCAAATAAACCCTTTCCTCCCCAGCTTGCTTTTTTAGTCATGGTGTTTCATCTCAGCTATAGAAATCCTGACTGAGACAGGTAGTATTGTCTCTGGAATTACCTTTTTTTTACTTAAGGGATTAGCCTGAAGCTTTGAGGTTTGTTTCTATTTAAACAATTGAGCCATTTGAGGAAGCAGCAAAGCTACCCAGGATGATGCAGGGATCCTTCCTGCTCCATCTTCCTCTTGTGAAGCTATCTCACTTTTCTACATTCACCAGAGCTTCTCCTTGTGAAGCAGAGCTTCAGGAACTGATGGAACAAATTGACATCATGGTGAGCAACAAGAAGTTGGACTGGGAAAGAAAGATGCGGGCTTTAGAGACACGATTAGACCTTCGTGATCAAGAGTTGGCCAATGCACAGACTTGCTTGGATCAGAAAGGCCAGGAGGTACTGAGTACACATGTCAGCAAAGTGTTCACGCACCAAACTCATTTGTCACTTACAATTCTGTCAGCAAACTTGGTGTTAAATGTATGCTATCAAATAGATGCAGGGATAAATCAGATATTTACTAATGGAGACACTCACTACACCAATGCTGACAATAAATGTAACAGACATTTAAGGTACATGTGAAGTAAGAGTGTTTGGAAACAAAAGTAAAAATGCTTTGGCTCCTACAGAAGCCCTGCCATGGAGACCAAAGCTGTCTTTGTTCAGCAGAGCCCAGGAGTGTTTGCTGCTTCTGATCTGCTGGAAAATGTTTTGTGAACAAGCATGTCAAGAGTTAATTGCCAAAGGAGAGTGCATTTGATGAAAGTGTGTGTGTGTGTGTGTGTGTGTGTGTGTGTGTGTGTGTGTTTGTGTTTGTGTGAGTGTTCTCATGAATGCATAGGTGTGTGGGTGTGTGTGCTCATGTGTGTGCAAAGGTATGGGGGTATGGGTGGGTTTGTTCTCCTGTGGGTGTGTGCAGGTATGTGTGTGTGTGTTCTTGTGTGTGCCTGTGTGTGTGTGGGGGGGGGTGCTGGTGTGTACCTGTAGTGCCCACTTAGAATGGCTTCCTTCCACTCCTGTAACTGCTCACTCCTGAGCTGGTGCACATAGGAGATTGTGAAAGACCTTGGGGGTTTCAGAAAAACATCTGCAGACCTACATGTCTGGACTCTTTTGGGAGTCAGGAATCATACGTCATCGCAGAAGTTTTCATCAGCCACTTTCCAGCTCTTTCTGTGGACTTATGGATGGTTTGAGTTTTGGCAAAGCTGAGGGCGTTGGTGTTCTGCAGGTGGGTGTAGCTGTGGTTTCCCTTGGCTCGAAAGGCAGGTCCAATGGTCCTGGTATATGCAAGGACCTACAGTGACACAGATATATAAGTAGGTGTCTCATCCGCATTTAAACAGAGTAATGCAAACCCTTAATAAGTGCTCTTAAACATTTTTATTTCCTCATTAATATGTTAGTTTTTATAAAATGCAACAATTATCCATTGGCCATGAAACTGGTAAGGAATGGAACCTGACCAAAAGAAAATCTTTGAGTTACCTTAGTAGAAGTTCTACATGAACAGCAATGGCACAGCCTGCCAAACAGATCATACAGAGTAAAGTCTAAATCTTAATTTAAAATGCAACAGTGACAAGGATCTCTTGCTAAATATACTTCCATGCTATCCTAATACACAGCCAGTGGACCGGGCTAGAGATGTTTGCTTTCTGTGAATTCAGTTATTAGTAGTTATTTTAAGAACTGCAGGACAAATATTTACTCTTGGCTCAGTGCAGCAGTTTAACTTGGATTGCACTTCTTCTTTGCACATTTTCTGATTTTTTAAGGTAAAATTCAGGAAAAAAGCTAATTTAAAGTTTATTTTTAATGCAGGTGGGGTTACTTCGACAGAAGTTGGACAGTCTAGAAAAATGCAATTTAATGATGACGCAGAACTACGAAGGACAGCTACAAGCCCTGAAAGCTCAAGTAAGAGAACCTGTTAAATGTAACATTACATGTTTTGACCTATGATATGTTAATTTTTTAAAAAAATGCTTTGCATATAAGCAAATGTTCTTGTATCTTAATTGCATGTTCATGTCTGGCTGCCATTGTCTTCTGTGTCCTGATTGTCTCTCCTACAAGGCTGTCAACTCAAATACCATCTGCATGGCCTTCCCTATGACAGGGCACTAGACAAATAACTTTCTGTCTCTCCAGAGGCTATTTTTTATGATTATTATTAGTTATGAGAACAAAAAACGAAATTCTCTTCTATGGTTATTTCTGGGGTTTCCACTGCAGCCTAAAAATATGGATGGTTGATACTATGAAGTAAGTAGCAGAAAGTGAGTGAGTGAGAAATTACGTAGCTGAAAGAACAGAGCTGGCCTTGCTGCTGGTGGCTGTTTATAAATGGCATGCCTCTGCCTATGCTGTGAGAGGGTACCAATTTCTTTGTCACCCATCACTGCAGCTCCCCACGAGGCTTGCCCCAAAGTCTTGTCTCCTAGCAAAAAAAGTCTCATAGGGCAGGAGTCACCTCAACATCCCAGGCCCAGCAGCTGCTTGAGTCCTTAACCTAGAAAAGGAATCAGTAGGGTGTGTGGTGTGATTGTGAACTCTGACCACCAACGTTTCTTGGAAAGCAAAGAGTTCATATGTAATAACCTGGTTAAGGGAGCCTGGAGTATCCGATGCTCCTCCTTAAGTGCTATAAAGGGGATACAGCCATTAAAAATGGAGTAGGAAATATTTGAACCCATTACTTAACTGTTATTACAGAATGTTTCCGACTAGCTGTCTATATTTTGCTTGCAATTCAGGTATGTGCCATGAGAAGGCAGCTTGTACTATGAATCTGCACACAGTTTTCTGAGACCAGAAGCATCTAAAACTTAGGGCAATCAATCTTGTTTTTTTTTTTCCCTCATACAAATATAGCAACACAAATCTGAATTCACCTGACAGCCCAGTGTGGGTATGTCTGAAGCTGCTGGACAGGTAGACTGGCTGTGTGTTTCTCTGCCCTCTTCAGCACAGCTGAAAGCCCTGGACATTGTAAGACAGCATGTGTACCTGGTAGAAAGCAGGGAGAAGAGATGGATTGCTTAGGGGTCTTGGGAGCCAACTCGGGACACCAGTGTGCTCTCTGGGATTTGTTTTAGCATTGTCACACAGTTCAGACACAGTAATGGGTACAGAAAGACAAACAGTGGGCAGAGCCCAAGGAAATCCTGTCATCTGTAGCAGGAAAAGACCAAGAACGCAGCAAACCTACCAACACAAAAACTCTCAAAAGTAGCCAAATACCACAGAAAAATAACTACAGCCCTGGTCCACCAACAAACATTGGGTAGAAAACCTAGATTTCTACCCCCTCCCAGATAGAGCCCCACCCTCCTGCCTCCCTGCCTGAGTAGTATCAAGAAGACCAAATGCTAGGGGGAGGACCATTACTAATGTCAGACCTCAATAAGACCTCCCCAGGATTTCTACAACTGCCTTGTGGGTAGATAATGAGACGCTCATCTCCTGTTCCTGAAGATGCTGTCAGAAGAAGCCTTGTAAAGCAACAAGGCAAAGATTCACCTCATCCCACCTCTGCTGAAGTCTGTATGGGAAGCAGTAATAGGCACCCATGCCCTCCAGTCACAGTGCAGTCAGCGTGACACCAGTGAGGATCCTTGGCACTCCCCTTCCTCTCAGGTACAATGAGGAGCACTCGCCCTTGGCTCCTGGACTTCCCCTGCTGCCTAGCAGTGGCCAGGGCCTTCCATTTTTGCTGTTGCAACATAGTCTGAAGACAGTGTTGAGACACAGTGTCACCAAGTTTCCAGGTTCCTACAAAGAATCACTCAATAACGAAAACCAGATCTCAGTGTAAAAGGAGACACAATCAGCAAATGTCAATGACACAATTAGAATAATCTGACAGGCAGTGGTCATAAAGATCATCCAGTGGACATTTGCAAGCATGCTTAAAATTGATAAAAAATTTTAACATTCTAGCTGAGTGGTGATGGCACATACCTTTTAATCCTAGCACTTTGGAGTTCAAAGTCAACCTGGTCTACAGAGCAAGCTCTAGGACACAATGCTGCACAAAGAAACTGTCTCAAAACACACACACACACAAACACACACACACACACACACACACACACACACACCATTCAAGCAAAAAAGTTAAAATATCAAAAAAAATTATAAACTTTATAACTGAAAATTAGAAAAAGCAAACTGAAAAATTCAATAGACGTCTTAGAAGTGGAATGGAGAAGACAAGAGGAAAGGACTCGGGTGGAAATTTCCAGACTGCACAGTGAGGGACACTAAAAGGGCACAGGCCTGAGGGACATGGGGCTTCCTCCTGTCATTAAAACTACAGGAGGAAAGGAAAAGGGGGAAAGGTGCCTAGAATGCCCCAAAATTTGACCAAAGGGTGAGTGAATCCCAAACAGGATAAACCCAAAGAATTATATAACAGACAAAAAAAAAAAAACATAAACCACCTCAGAAGCTTGTGAAAGTGACAAGTCTTACAGAAGGGAAAAGCAATCTGGATGGCAGTGACTTCTCGTGGGAGGAACAGAAAGGTCACAAGAGCAGAACAGTCGACTCTGGGATTCTGTCCCAAAGAAAATATCCTTAGGAGTGATGGAAAACCAAGGCACAGTCAGAGGAGGGAAAGTGCCTCTGTTAACAGTAACATCACCCTAACATAATAGCTACCAGAGGTTCTTCACAGGAAAGCTCTGGTGTAAAATCCTGCATCCCTGGCCACAGATTTCGCTTCTGCTCTTGAGTTTTGCTAATTGTTTGATTTAAAAAAAAATTAAAGGCAAATGTAGTTTCCAGGGTATGTATCAAAAATATGTGATATTCTTGTTTATAATCGAGTCAGGATGAAAAGAAAATAAGCATTCCATCTTCGAACTAGGGAAGTAACAGGTACCTGAAGACCACAGCAAGGTGTGTGCATATAATCTGATGTTTGAAGAAGCGGCTGAAAATGATGTAAAGAGACACACTCAAAACTATCTACAACTCATCGCAGCCTTAAAAATACCCCCTGTGAGCCACCGGAAGACCAGAAAGTAAAAACAAGCCACAAGCTAGAGGAAACCAGAAAACAAAACACAAGAAGCCTAGCTTCAATCGAGCATAGCTATAATTATATTAAACAAAAATGGCCTAACCACACAAATTAAAGAGTGCCAGATACACAAAAACAGGACCCAGCTCAATGAGCTGTTCAAGGAATTCCCTTAAAATATGATTACACAGGGAAGCTGAAAGTAAAAAGAAAGACAAAACTACAGCACGTTATGTTTAAGAAACTAAAGCAGATGTGCTGCCAAGATGATTCAGTAGAAGAGATTATCTTTTCAACAAACATACAGAGACAGCTCAAGAACGAGCTGGGAGACGCAGGTGAGATGGACCTGAGTCTGTCAGCCATGGCTTAGCTACCTCTGTAGCTATTACAGCACAAAAAGCATCAGTGGAAACAATGAACAGACACTGAAATCTCCCCAGAAGCTAGGACCCCATGCTGTAGATATACATGAAAGGATGAGCCGCAGTTACATCAACTGATCTGTTGAGATTAAAGTTGTCAACACAAGATGGCAATAAGAAAAAGTAAGGAAAATTTGTGGGCTTTTTTTTTTTTTAACCGTTAGCTTTGCTGTCTACATACACTTGACACAAAACTGAACAAAACATTTATCATTGAGTGAGTCATCGGCTCACTGCACAGTTAATGAAGGCCCAGATTCACATACACAGATGTAGAATCTTGTTGAGCCTCAGTAACTGAGTTTTAATAGCAGGTTCCATCCTCACTAATTGGGACATTTAAGTTTTACTGCACTTTCTAATCATGACTTACCTTTTTGAAGAGCTGTGTGACAAAAAAAAAAAAAAAAAAAACACTATGAAGGCCAGCTGTAAGTAACGGGTACTATTTCCTATCATTTGCAGTTTTCTAAGCTAACCAATAGCTTTGAAAAACTGAGATTACACCAGATGAAGCAAAGCCAAGTTCACCGAAAAGAGGTCCCCAGCAAAGAAGAAATACCCTTTGAGCTGAACAGTTTGAACCAGAAGCTGGAGGTGAGCAGGCGTTCCCCGTCCCTGTATTCTGAAGTTTGCTGGGGAAGTGGGCTCGATCTCCAGGCACGGGGCACCCAGGATGGCCTCTTAGTGCACCTCCAGCTTCAGGCACTTAGTGAATTCAAAAATAACTATGATTTATAATACATACATACGTACATACACACACATTGGGAGAGCTAAAATAAATAAATAGATAAAGGAACAAAGACTCCACAACTGTTGAATGAAATTGAAGGGCACCCTAGGGTCAGTTAAATAGAATACCTAATAAATCTTTTAACGTCCATTTAACTATTAGGTACTAAATCTCAGTGAGCCTCAAAACTGTTTTCAGAACAGGGGCTGAAGTCCCAGGTATTTGGGGTTTTGGTTTGTTTTGTTTAAAGGCCTAATTCCACTCCATTTAAGTTGTCCCATGTCACTGAGAACTTCTAAAATCCATCTCTGAAAAGATTCAGTATATTGCCAAGACCTTTATTCTTACCCTCTTAATGGTATAGCGTTGGAAACCACAAAACAGCCATCTTTCTCCATGTGTTCTTGAGAACCCTTGCAGAAAATCCTGAATCTCCCTGAGCCCCTGACATCTGGCTTGCTGGGCTCCAGCACGGCTTGGGGGTCACTTTCTCCTTAACCTTTGTATTACCCTATTCAGTTTCTTTCATTCTCCTCAGGTCCTAAGCCGAGCGACCCATCCCCAGCCAACAGTCTCATTTTCTCCTACTCATGAGATCAGAACGATCCTGCGTCTCCCAGTGACCAAGGTCAGAGACAGTTTAGGGAACTTTGGCCTTTCTCGTCCTTGTCATTCTCCCACTGGGCCTGTCCTTGACCTTCTTTCTGTCTCCTTGTCTTCACACATCACTACCTTGCTCTTTTTTCTTACTCCTGCTCCAAAATTTCTGTAAAAGCAGAGAGAATCACAGTTTGAGATCACATCCATGGAACTAGACAGTGTGGTAGAAGGCCTGGGGCTAACCTCAAAAGCCCCACAGACTCTACACTTGCTCCTTAAGAAAGAGTTCTTCAGATATAAAGCCACTGTGACCCAGTGAATGGCACTCAAGGAAATCCCTATACTTGCTCCCAGCCTCCCCCAGGCTGGCTGGCTTCTCAAGGGGTATTCTAACGCAGGCTCTGGAGAACTTAACCCTTTCTTGACATGGAAGTCAGAACACCCTATAGTAGCACCCATTGTCTATTTGGTTGGCTCTTTGCGGGCTTCGGGAGGAAAGTGCATTCATATACATGTTTCTGACAACACACATCCTCGTGAATATGTTTATACTTATGCACGAGTTTTAAGTAGACACAGTATAACTTGGATACCAACATAGCTGTTTTTCTTACAGTCATCTGGAAATAGCATGGAGGAGATGGCTGTTCTTGTTTTTGAACATGGAACATGTTCTCCTTTAGAACAAGCGCATTCAATGCCATAGTAATATCACTATGACAGTGTGTGTGCAGTGGGAAAATCATGGCTTATAACGCAGACCATCACCTACCCTACTTCTTGATCACTCTGTGACATTTAGACCATGTTAGCCTCAGGAAGTTCCATCTTTGATTAGTAAATTAGGCTGATGTGCCTGGGGGACAGTTCAGTCAGTAAAGTGCTTGTCTCAAGCACAAGGACGCAAGCTCCAGACTAATTCTAGAAGCTGGGCATGGTGATGCACACCTGTAGTCCCAGCACTAAGGAGCCTGAGACAGGTGAATCCCTGGGCACACTGGCCAGCCAGGCCAAGTGAGACACACAGTCAAAAACCAAAGTGGACAGCTTCAAGGAACAGCACCTGAGGCTACACGCTGACACATTTAGGGGTGAAAATGCATGAGTTCAGAAAGTCCCCTTAAAATACTTGAACAAGAGTGGGAAATGAGCCAGGCTGTTAGTGAAAGTTAAAACTGGGTAAAGTGTAAGTTAAAACTGGGTAAAGATCAGGATTAGGGTTACTCTCCACTTTGATGTGAATATGGAAAAAAATTCTAATAAAAAGTTAAGATCATTGTGTAATTTGTAGAGTCACAGACACATCACTCAACACTGTTTCTCAGGGTTCAGAATAAGGGCCCTTTTAAGATAACAACCACCACCAAAAACTAATAACCCAGTTATCACCAGAAATGCTCATTTTAATGACCATGACCCACTCTCAATCTAAAAGGCTCAGAGAAAATTTTGTAGTCTTAAGACTGCCCCCTGGAGGACTGGGAGACTCCCCTGGGCTGACCTTCAAGAAGTCCCACATTCCTGAATTCATCGTGCTTGCTGCCTAACCTTGAAAGATGGATCTCTGATTACTGGAGGAATCTGAACTGTTATCAGTTCCCACTGATATGTCTGTGATACTGTCTAGCCATCCTAGACCTCATCAATGCTTGTTTTTAGTCCTTATGAACTAAGGTTAATGCTACTGCCTCCTCTTAAAGCATTCTGGGGAATATTTAAGGTTATTTGTAGGTGTTAGGTAGGTGATGATAAGTATATTTATTATCTAAAAGATATTTTCTAAACTAGACAAGTGAGTCATACCTTTAATTTCAGTACTTGGGAAGTGAAGGCAGAAGGACCTCGAGTTCAAGGCCAGCTTGGGCTGAACAATGAGATCCTGTGTGAAACATTTAAAAAAGGAAAACATATTTACTGTTTAAGCCAATCTTATTCTATTTTTTGCTATTTTTCCCCAAAGAGTTGTTTTTAATTAGAAATATTTTAATTAATTCCTAAAGTTAGCATATAAAATAATGGGTTTCCTCATGGCATCATCATAAATATGAAAATCAAATTCTTGATATCTACCTTGCATTGATTTTTAAATGTTACCTATTTGGAACCTAATTTTATAAATGTGTAACTATTACTGAGGACTCATTCTTAATTTACATCATTGATTGTCGGAATCAGTCCATAAGTGGACTGTCCCATTACCCTAATAGAGTTTGTCATAAGATCTTTTTATGCACCTAGACAGTGAAGTGTGTGCCTGCATTTCCCAGACATATTCCCTCCACTTAATTTCAGATTGCCTTTAATTACTATAAAGTCTTCCTCACTTACAGACCTCCTTCACTGATTAGGACTTTTATATTAAAAAAAATATTTAAATTTCCCAAATATTCTTCAAAATCATTTCTGTGTAGGAAATATGAAAAGCACTGTTTTTCTCATTCTAAGCACGACAGTTTGCATTCTCAGCATCAACATGTTTTTTGTGCAGCATAGCCTAGCAAGTCCCTGCAGCCATTTTTAAAGGACTCCAGCCAAACACAACTTGTTCCAACTTGACATAATAGGAAAACTATCCCGGTGGCTTTTATGTGACAGTTTTACTGTACTTGGGTACTGTAAATGGCTTAAACAATATATAAACATATAAACTATGTGTATGCTGCTCCTTTACTGTATATTCCTTTAAAAGTGGGACAGGGGGTTAGTCATGGAAGTTCCAAACCGGGGACTGTAAGCAGAGCTTGGCGCATACAGTCCTCCATGCTAGTCTTCTAAAGCCTGGACAGAAAGGCACACTGCAGCAACCAGCCCAGCCAGAAGTGAGATGCAGGGACATCTCTGGCACCTCCGAAGCCATGTCCGTTGCTCTCCATGTTGCATTGTACCATGGTGCTCTACACTGCATTACTTGAGTGGGCACTTGAGCAGCAAAGCACACTATATCCAGCTAGTCCCACATTTTCTTCCCCAACTGATACATGGGAATAAAGTACAAGATAAGATGTGTTCTCTGTTCCCCAACTGAGCTGATTTTAGCTTCACAATGGTTTTCAAAGCCAGGGGCCAATAAAGCCAACATTAGCTCAGGCTACTACAGCAGAATGCAGAGGCTGGGTAGCTTAGACAAAGGGCCAATGGTGAGATTCTGATGAGGGTCTCCTCTTGGTTCAACAGTTACCTGCTGGTTGTACAGCAGAAAATAGGGAGAATGGGAGGAAATACTTATCTTTTGTTGGGGATGGGTGTGTGTGTTCATGAGAATGTGTGCATGTGTGGAAGCCAGAAGTCTGCATCAGATATCTTCCCATCTCTTTCTACTTTGCTTTTCTGAAATAGTATCTCTCACTGAGACCCTGTTTGTCTAGAATGACTGGACCCAGATCCCCCTGCCTGTGCCTTCCCAGCACTGAGATTACAGATGAGCACTGATGCACCATCCAGGATTTTTATACAATAGGTGGGGATTGAACTCAGGCCCTTAGACTTACACAATGAATGCTTTGCAAGCTGAGCTGTCTCCCAGGCCCCTGGCTTCCTTCCTTCCTTCCTTCCTTCCTTCCTTCCTTCCTTCCTTCCTTCCTTCTTTCCTTCCTGCCTGCCTGCCTGCCTGCCTACCTGCCTTCCTTCCTTCCTGTCTTCCTTCCTGTCTTTCTTTCTTCCTTCCTTCCTTTCCTTTCTTTCTCTTTCTTTCTTTCTTTCTTTCTTTCTTTCTTTCTTTCTTTCTTATGTGTAGCCCAGGCTGTCCTCGAATTTGCTCTCTAGACTAAGCTGGCCTCAAACTAAGATATCTGCCTGCCTCTGTTCTGGGATGAAAGATGTGTACCACCATGGCTGGCCTGATCCCTGTATTTCTTAATCTTTTATTACAAGGACACTAATCCAGCTCACACTGGCTCTAGGAACATAACTCAATAACCTCCTGGACGCCCAACTTTCACTTTCATGACAGTGAGCATTATGTTTCAATATATGTAGTTACGAGGCAAAACACTGATCACACAGAACTTGAGAAAGGGCATCTCTTTAATGAATTATTTTAATTATGGGGGTTATGCCTGTGAATGCTGATGCCTGCTAAGGCCAGAGATGGCAGATCCCCTGGAGCTGCATACTCTCTGCAAGAGCAGTTTGGGCTCTTAATCTCTGAGCATCTCTCCAGCTCCCAGCCCCTGCCTCTTGAGTACTGAAAGCAAATGGCCAGTGACTAAGTGTTGCGAATGAGGAAGGGAGAAACATCTGAGAAAGGATAGGAGGGGCCAGCTGATGCTGAAGGTTGTTTGACTCTCCTTTTGCCATATGAGAGATCTGTGCTTTCAATATGTTTATTATTTCTTTGTATGTTAAAAATTCTATAATTTCCTCAAAGAAAACTGGAATATACAGGTTAAGCACTCCTATTCCCAAATGCTCCAGAATCCCAGGCTTTTTGAGCGATGACACAATGCCACAAGTAATATGGGTGGCCACAGCATGGGTATATCAAACATAGCACATAACATCACCTTTTGGCAGAGTACACACGGGGTGTGTGAAACAGTTGAATGTGTGTTTAGACTTGGACAGCATCACCAAGGCATCTCATTAAGAATATGCCAATCCCAAATCTGAAACAAAACTCCCCTGTTCCAAGTGATTCAGATGTAGGACACAGAGCCTGTAATAATCAATTAATGTGTAATTCCATCATTTTCTTGTTTACTTTCCTAATAGGTAAAGAATAGACATTTTTTCTCATAATGAAGATACACAAAGGAAAGAAACTCTGTTCGCTGTACTTTTAGTGTATAATAATTTTGTTTATTTCCCTCTTCCCTCTTCTAAAAGGAGTTTAGAACAAAGTCAAGGGAATGGGACAAACAAGAGATCCTCTATCAGACTCACCTAGTATCTTTGGATGCTCAACAGAAATTACTATCTGAAAAATGTAATCAATTCCAGGTAAAATGAAATTTTATTATTATTACTATTAAATTATATTGTCTAAATTGGAAAATACAATTAGAAGTTAATTGCTGCCATCCTTGTATTCAATAATCTACTTACTCATGGAAGTGTGAACTGAGGGATAGCAGTCATCTTGGGTCTAATGTCAGCACAGTCATGTGCATGAGCACTTTGTGACCATGATTTTAGTCTCTGTGTCTCAAAGTCTGGTGTTGTTATGTCTTTAGACAACATATGCTTCCAGGTAGTTTGGACAATCCCTGTGTAAGCATTACAGCTCAGATGGAAAGGTATCCTGGCAGCCAACACCGAACAACAAACCTCACACAAGAGATTTATTGAGAGGAAAAAAATCAGAAGGGTGGCTACCTCTGCTTGGGAGAGAAATAGCAGTAAACTGAACAGGATACAGGGCTTATATAGAGAGAGTTTCTTGGGAAGAGGGGGGAACTTTTCAGGGTGGAGTTTTCCAGGGTGGAGATTGGTGAGATTTCATGTCCAGAGATTGGGCTTTGTTACTCTGTAGGGTGGGGTCAGGGTCCAGCAGTTAGGACAGTTAGAGTGTTCTGTGGGTGGAACCTGGCAGTTAGAAGTCCTTGGGGGAGAGGTCTGATTGGTTCAATGGGCTTACACCCTGCACTTGGGGGCCAAAGGCAGGAGAGGAGGCTCATGAGTTTGAGGCAAGCCTGCCTCGCATAGTAGGAATCTGACTCACCAAAAACGAACAAAACACAAAACAAAGTTTATGTCTGTATGGTTTGTTTCACATGTCCTTACCCCCCTGTGTGACTGAGCATGTCCTGATGCACTTGTTAGCATTGTTCCCCCACGCTCTGTGCATTTGGTTTGTGTCACTTGCTTTTCCTATCAAAACATAGAGGTTTTGCACATTAGGAATTACTAAAACCAGTTATGTGTTAGCAACTGTTGTTTTTTTGTTGTTTTTTTTTTCCTCAATCTGTTTCTGGTCTTTATTTCTTTACCATAGAGACATTTTCAACTATTATGTAATTGAATCAATAGTTTTCTTTTATTATAGCTTCTAGATTGTCTTTGTTGATTAATGAGATCTGTCCTCCTCCAGACCCCTTCCCTGCTCCAAAGTTATGCAAATGCATCTTTTCTTCACATCATCTGAAATTGAAGTTATAAACAAGCATAACACTGTACTGTATAGGCCAAGCTTAATACTAAAAGATATCTTTACTAATTCTCTTACTTCTTTGCCTGTATGGAAGCCTAAATAATCAATTTATGGAGTTATCATATTTCTCAGAAACAGGCACAAAATTACCAAACTCAGCTAAATGGTAAGAAGCAATGCCCAGAGGACATCAGCCCTGAGAACCCTCACATGATGTGTGACTCAGATCCTGGCTGTGAGGCAAGCCAAAGAGATGAGTTCATTATTGAAAAGTTAAAATCGGCTGTGAGTGAAATAGCACTGAGCAGGAACAAGTTACAGGATGAAAACCAGAAGCTTCTGCAAGAACTGAAGATGTGCCAGAGGCAGTGCCAGGTGAGGGTCCATGCTTTCAGCTTCATTTCCAGCTATTGATGAGCTACACAGATGCCAGCTGATACGGACAGTTTTATGACAGATTTCTACTACTGCACTGTCAACTCAGGTCAGAGCTCCCTCCATAAGTAATTCTCACCTGAGTAAATTCAGTAATCTCATGGGTATCTTAGCCTCTGGAGTTTTTTAATAGCACAGTGACAATGTGTATTATCACCCGTGCATCGGAACAGCCGTCAAAAACCTTTGTGCCTAAAAACCATACCCCAGTGGCCACCCACCTTCTTCCCCTCCAGGCTTATATTCAGGGTTAGACTTTGGTGAGAGGCATGGAGCTACTCTTTGATTTAGCACTGGGAGCTCTCCATGCTAGTCCACTTCCCACCATTGTAGCCAAAGCACTCTGGGTAAACCATGAAGATTAAAGGTTCCTTTAGGTTCATGGTTTGGGAATGGCCTGTGGTGGGGCACAACATCATGATAGGAGATCAGGGTAAACTAAAACCTCATGGCCCATGGCAAAGGGGAAGGAGGACAGGCTGGAAGTCCAATGGACCCCATTTCCCAAAGCTTCAACCTCCTGGCTCATACAAACTCTTTGGAGAATAAGGCAATAGCACGCAAGCCTTTGGCCCACCAATGGATCATCACACTTGGTCATAAACCCCTGCAGAACGGTCTTCTGGAACTGAAGGTTGTGGTGACACTGTCGGATTTATAGACTGGTAAGTATGTACCCAGTTTTGTCTTCCTTAAGCCATTTTTTGTTTTCTTTCTACTTTTTGCAATGAGCAGGGAGATTTAGTAACAGCACCCTTCAAAACCAGCTCTTATTATCCCGTAATCATTTCTTACCCATGTGAATTCAGACACTTGAAACTTCCTTACCAGTCTTTCTCTGCTTCTAGTCCTCCTTTCCCACCTCCAGATGTTTCTACCATTGTCTTCATTCAGCTAACCCATCACTCAGCTCCCCTCATTCTCCCCATCCTAAAGCTCACTACCTAAGCAGACCTGATTCTCTGAGATACTCTGCTCTTCAACTCTCAGGAACATTTCCTAGTCTTGGGCCAGCCCCTTCTTCCCCACACTGCAGTGTCACCTAAAGAACTGTCCTGAAACATCTGCATCACATCTGCTCTCCCCCATGCCCTCTTCCTCTGCATTTGGGAGGGGACAGATCACAAGGCTCCCACATTCTCTTCCCCAGTGATATTTCTAAGAGACCTGCATCTCCCCCATCTTAAACTCCAGTTTTGTCTGGAGAAAGGCATTATTCTAACATTAATTTGAATACGGATATAAACAAACAAACCAGATTGAACTGAAAATACTAGACACTGAAGAAGCCAGGCATCCTCCAGATGTAGGACAGGTGTGATGGCATCTTCCCTGGTTCTGTCATAGTTTAAGATTAATCATTGTCTTCCTGGAGGTTGGCCAGGGTCTCCTAGTATTCAGTTTACTAGTTACCCACCTGCCTGTGAGGGCTATTTGCAAAACTGCTGGTTTTCTCTCAGCAGGATTCTCTCCTTCTCTGGGATGGGACACTGGACCTACCTTCTGTTTAAAGTCAATGTGAGCATACATTTCACTGCTGTTTTCACAGGTGAAACCTGTGCCAGATCACACTCAGTGATTAAGCAGATTATCTTTATAGGTCCTTCCAAAACCTTCTGCTCTGGGCTTCAGTTCACACTGCATGGACTGAAGAACTTTGTGTTTTGTCTCTACTTGGGGCCTTTTTGGCTCTGATCCCTGCAAGTCTGTTCCCCAAAGTGCTTGCTGAGTGGGTTGGGACAGACTTAAGGATCCACAGAGCTTTGCTAGCTAGACTGTCTTGCTGGATAGTGAGCTCCATGTTTGGTGAAAGACCCTGTCTCCCTTTCTCAATAAAATAAAACAAAGTGGAGAGCAATAGAATATACCCAGGGTCCATCTCTGTCCTCCTTACATACCCATGTGCACTCACATACCACAGACATGAGCTTGTGCATGTGCACACACATACACACATATAAGTTACAGGTATTAAAAAAGCAAACCTAGTGATTGTGGAACATGCTCAAGAGGAAAAAAATCTGTTGTCCTAATAAAAATATTTTTGAAAATTGAAAAGTAACTTGGTTCAAAAGTTTCACGATTTCTCTTTGGAAAAAGCACCAAGTCCCCTGCTTTTTTCCCTCCTCCCCGTGTTTCATTTCCTGCTGACACTTATGACCTGTCCTTTTCAGTGAATGCTGAGAATTCCTTGTTTAAGCTTTCCAGTTAATTTGAAGGTTTAAAATCAGTGCTCCTTTCAGAGCATTAGACAAGTTCCCAACTAAACAGATGGGCCTTAGATTTGTTTTACAAAATTTGCATTTTATCAATTAAGGATTAGTAGAGGTAAATAATACTGGAACCATAATAGGCATTTGTGAAAAAATTTGTCCTCTCCTTTTAGCCACCTGACAGAATGTTCCACATCTTGCATATAAATGCAAAAAGACAACTATCCCTATTTAAATTGCTGTCATTTAATATGTCGCAGATGCCAGCTGTGTCTGCATCTTCTCCAGGCACATCATTTGTCTTTCTGCAACCCTGAAATGTGTCAGCACACATATCCCACTGCTCATGTTTATTTACTATCCTACACACCCCTCCTGTTTTTAAATGTGCAAGATTCTCCATTCAAGATTAATGACAAAAATCAGTGGTTCTGCCTCTTTCAAACATCTATGCTGGCAAAGTTAACTTCTCATTTGCTTGTTAAGACACTTCTAAGAACTAGAGCAACACTGTCCAAGAAAAATATAATCCAGCTGTCGGTCTAATTTAAACTCTGGAGTGTTTGTTACTGCTTTTTGTTCTGTTTCATTATTTTGATATTTGAGACAGGGTCTCGTGTAGCCCAGGCTGCTTTCAAACTCACTATACAGCCAAGGTGACCTTGAACTTTTCATCCTCCCCTTCCTGAACTGGGAGTTTGGGTGTGTATTAGCACACTCGGGATTTGCAGCACTAAGGACAGAACCCAGGACTTCATGCACACTAGATAAAGCACGGTCCCACCCGAGCTCCATCCCCAACCTGGGTTTAAAATCTTCTTGTAGTCACATTAAAGAACTAGAGGGAAATAAGTAAATTTATTGTAAATAGTATGTTTATTCAAACCAATACATGTGTATATCAAAACACTGTCGTTTAAAACATGAACAAAATGTAAAAGTTATTAATGAGATCTTATAGTTTTCACACTAAGTCATCAAAAATCTGTGTCTATATTACACCGACAACATACCTACATCTCAGTGCTAAATGCCTGCTCTATATTTGGGATTCATAAAATATCAAAATTAAAGGGAGCTTCCAGTGCTGAAATTGTTGCAGACACGCTTGAAACTTTCCCAGCAACAAAATCATTTTCCCAGATAGCTGACACATGCACAAATAATTGATTTGACTTTCATGCAAAACTGTATCAATTTCAAAGCTACCTCCTAGTTTTAAACATCCATTAATTCTCATGTCAACTTGGGCTTATTGAATTCAAAGCAAGAAGATAATTCTAGACTTACCAATATCAACAAATCCTTCCAGTTGTCCTTATACTTTTGCAGCCAGTTTACATCATACTGTCAACCACAATCTAATTGCCTATTTATCTGTCATTATTTCCAACATGTACAATGTACATCTTAATTTACATTCATGCACCTGTGGTGCTGGACCATTACACTTCATGTTTCTCCTGGATACTCATCTGTTTTCTATAAACAGAACAAACCACTCCTGTCACCCTGACACCACAAGTCACCAGCCTAGAGTTGGGGCTTCCCCACTTCAAGTTCTATGGTAGGAATTCCACCAAGCAGAAAGCCCGGGCTGCCCCTTCTTCACCTGTATATCATAACAGGTAGCTTTTGCATTACGGTAAATTGCTTTCCTACTGTATAATTAATTGTTTCACGTCTCTTTAGTTTTTGAAATTTTAACTCTACCTGAAAAATCCCCACTCTTTAAAGCAGATAATACCTAAACCAATCTCATAAGACATCATTTTGAACCTGTTTTTAAACTTATTTCTGAATCACCAGGAATGTGAGTGGCTAAGTATTGTGATCAGCCCCTCCCAAACCCTGGCCCTTGGGAAAGACATGTAATTGAAGGCTTTTGCTTTAAGAAAACTTCCTGAGAACTGCAACCATTTAAGTAGAATCATTGCTCATGATTGCCAAAAAGTAGAGCTAACCCGCAGTGTGTACTGATGAACAGAAACTCAGGATATGGTACATCCATGTAACAGGATATACTTCAGGCAGAAACAAAAACAGATGAACCTTGGAAATTTGCTGAGGGTAAGAAACCAGCTGCAGGAGCCACTTCCTGTGGAATACCCTCTGATTCCTAGGGAACTGCCAGCATGGCTGCAGAAGATCCTCCAACAGGCTGTGGTGTGCCTGAAATGGGCACACAGCACCACCATAGAACTTGAGATGGGAAAGCCCCAAGTCTAGACTGCTGACCTGTGGTCCTAGTGTGTGCTCTGGGGCACAGATGCTAATCTCCCTCAGAGAGTTCACCATCCTGGACAAAGACAAAGAACAAATGACCAAACCACATCAATGCGGTCACCCTGTGTGCCAATCTGAAGCCCTAAAGGCTAAACAAAGTACAAAGTGTGACCTTTAATCAACACTGGTGCTTTCTGGTTAATAAAATACTAAGCAAATGACAGATAATCACATGACCAAGGCCATAAGCCAGCCAGTGTACTTGTGTGAATCCCCACTCCTGATGCCTCCTCCCTTCCACCAACAGACAGCCAGGCTCTGAAGCTCCCCATACCCAAAGGCAGAAACTTACCTCCACCCATCCTCCTTCCCTCTTGATACTGATTTCTCACTGTGCCTTGGCTTCTCCCACCCACCTGCTGAGGATCCCTGTCCATGCAATTGCCCTTTCTCTCCAGTACAGATCCTCTGCTTCACTTCTGAACTTCTCAGGCCTCTTGTGGAGCCACGGTATTCCTAGATGCTTCAGCATTGACTGCCGTGGGGAAAGAGATGAATGAGGTTCCTAAGTCATCGTGTTGCCAGCTTTGCCAGGAAAGCAGGTTTATGGCCTTGGTCATTCGATTATCTGTCATTTGCTTAGTATTTTATTAACCAGAAAGCACCAGTGTTGATTAGAGTTCTCACTTTGTACTTTATTCAGCCTTCAGGGCTTCAGATTGGCACACAGGGTGACCGCATTGATGTGGTTTGGTCATTTGTTGTCTTTATCCAGGAAGGTGAACTCTCTAAAGGCGATTAGTATCTGTGCCCCAGAGCACATACTAGGAGCTCGGCGAGGATTTGTCCAGAGAGTGAAAGGAATTCTGTAAGACAAAGCAAGCAAACGAGGAAAAAATGCTTCATTTAAAATTAAGCACATTGATTTATTGGTGCTAATTTTTAATTATTTGACAGTTTCATACATGTGGTGAATTTTAGTCATTTTCACCCACCATTACCTTCTCTCAGGCCCTTCATCCCTCACTGTATCTCTCCTTCTTCCTAACAAGCCCTCTTGGTACTTTCATGTGTGAGTGTGTGTGAGAGAGTATAGTATGTATGTGAGAGTCATCTCCACAGTGTTCATGCCACTATTGCACCAGCAGGCACGTGTTGCTTGATATGTTGGTGGCATCAGGGTCTCCCACTGAGTAACACCATTGGCACATTTTCTCCTGCAACAGCCTGTGGAGCACATTCTGGACTTGGAAAGCTGTCCTGCAAGGAGCAAACTACCAGCTCAATTTCCCCGTGTCTTGCAACTATTATTTCAGCAGCAGGATCCGGTGGGCACCCAAGAGCAATGGCAATATCCTATGTTGTCTTGGGGACTAGATTTTTTTAATATATTGTGCACCATATTTCTAAAGTGAATGCCAAAAATTCTTTTAATGCAGGCCATGGAAGCAGGATTGTCGGAGGTGAAGAATGAGTTACAGTCACGTGATGATCTCCTGAGGATTATAGAAATGGAAAGATTGCACTTACATAGAGAACTATTGAAAATGGGAGAATGCCAGAATGCTCACGATAACAGGAAAAGGTACAGTTCCCACACTGGAGAGAAAATCCTCAAAGTAGGCTGTGTGTATGTATTTGAGGGCTTCATATTTGAACTAGAATAAAGTTTATTTGAATTACCATGCATTCTTTAGGACATCAGTAGGAATAGTAGTGTAGAGCTGGTATTTAATTGTAGATTTTCAGAGAAGGGAGATTTGTTCTTTATTCTAATTGTCTCTGGTTTAGTTGCCCTCACAATCTGCCGCCCCATACACAAAGTTACTGCTTGTCCTGGAGGGATGGCTCAGTGGTTAAGACTTCCAGAGGATTCTAGGTCAGTTCCCAGAATCTATGACAGGTGGCTCACAAATGCTTAGAACTGCAGTTCCAGGGCACCTGATGCCTTTGTCCTCTGAGGGCACCTGCAGCCATGTGCACAGACACACATACAAACGCATAACTTAAAATAAGAAATCCAGAGTAGACACATACTGCATTTTTCACAGCCACCAGAAAGTAGATCTCCTGAGAATTCAGTGTTTGGGGTTCTGAAGAGAAGAGATCAGAAGGTTTCTTTAACAATTCACTGCTGTGGAACTTTCTTCTCAGAATCAGCAAGCTAATGAAACAAATGATAAGATTTTAAAAATCTGAATGGCTAAATGATCAAGGATATTTGTTGAAAGATAATTGCTACTGCTTTTCAGACAGTAATAATTTCTTCAAAGTTGTAGGACATGGTAACATAGAAAGATGGCTAGTGGTTAGGGCAATGACTACTCTTCCAGAAAACCTGGGTTCAACTCCCCAGACCCATACATGGCATCTCATAACCATCTATAGCTCTACTTCCAGAGGATCCAATGTCTTCTTCAGGCCTCTACTGGCACTACACATACTTAACACGGTGCATAGACACAGGAAGAATGCCCATACACATAAAATAAATATAAATCTTGGGGAAAAAAGCCAACGTCAGGCTAATCATGATGGCACAGATCTTTAATCCTAATACTAGGAAGGGAGAGGCAAGCAGATCTCTGTGAGTTCTAGCCGAGCCTGGTCTACACAGTGAGTTTCATTCTAGCTAGCTCTACAAAGAACAAAACTAATAATGTTCCATCCAAACACAGCCTGCTTTCTTTCAATACATAGTTCCTACATATTTGGCCAATACAAACTCTTTTTTATCCTCGGTCAAACTGTATGATCATTTTGGTCTCCAAACTATGTCTTTTTCATTTGGAGGGACCCCTCAGATGTCTCATTCTGGGATTTGATGAGATGCCATGTACTGAGCATTACAGCTTTCCACCATGTTTGACTCCTCAGCCTACCTTTGTCTTGCCCACTGCCGTCTTCAAATCCTTTCCATACAGTGTCATGGCTGCTGCCTGTCTGGTCTGTTGTCTGGGTTTCTTTAATTTGACTCTGCCTCTTCTATATGGTTTATTAAGGTGAAGCAGCCCAGAGCTCTGGCGCAGTGACTAGTGATTTTCCCATTCATTTCCAGCACCTTCCCTGAAGATACTAATTGTGTCTTCCTTCCTTCTTAACCACTTCCTTCTTAACAGCACAAGCGCCATGAGCTGACATGTTTTGCGTTACTAAACAACAATTCCAAGATCCTTTTCCTAAACGAAAGCCATACTTCCTTTATCTATTTGTGTTAGCATGGTCATGTTTTCTAAGCACTTATCCCTATCAGAATGGCTGAACCTGGCAGCTCACCACAAAGTCTTGGTGGTTGCTTCAGCACTGCAGCCCTTGAGAGTGCTTGTCAAGAATCTAGAAATGAGAAAGTTCTTTTCCCCTTTCCAAATCATAGCAAGTGAGAAATTTAAAGACTCCTTTTAAAATTGATGCTTTAGAAGTCTGTTAGATGAAGTGGAAATACAACACATTAGTCGGTGAGAAACAAACAGGCACTGGAAAGTAACATGTAGTATGTACTCTGATCATACAGAAGCAAATAATACGTAGTGTGTACTCTAGTCATATGAGAAACATGTTCACTAGGATATGGAGAGAGAGCAACATTCACAGAAAGCTGACAGAGGGTCTTCCAGGATCATTACACAACAGTGGCTGTTATGCTCACACACTATGTTGGCCCACATAAACTAGCATATGGGAAGTGTGTGTGTGTGTGTGTGTGTGTGTGTGCGCGTGCGCGCGCGCGCGCGCAAGAGAGAGAGAGAGAGAGAGAGAGAGAGAGAGAGAGAGCACAAGAGAGCGAGAGTGATGGTCAGAAAGATCAACCCAGCTTAGACACCTATACCTCAGGGAGATTGATATGTACCTTTGAGAGATCCCTTATTTCTAATCTTTAAATTAATTATTTCTCCATCATTGCTCAGATTTGGAGTTTTCGTTTTATTTTGTGTGCTTTGTGTTTCTAATATTTGGAACGCCCTGGGATATCTCCAGAAAGCCGGTTATACTCCCAGGTAACTCCTATTGAGCCACAGCAGACTACAGTGGTGATCTCACCTAGGTTTCTGGAGCTGCTGTCCCCTTCCACTGCCACCCCATCCTCCACCACCACCCACCCTCCCCGACCCCCACTCTGCTTTGTATTTTAATGACTGGTTCCAGTTTACCTTATAGGGAAGTAGGCCTCACTAGCTATGCTTCTCTGAGCATCAGGTGGGGTTGTCCTGCCAGGAGTTTCCCTGTCCCTCACACCCCTCCCCATGTTAACAAGTGGCTGCTTTTCCATTTTATATGCAAATAGCCAAAAAAGGGCACATTTGAGTTCCCTTCCTGGCCACACTGTCAGATGTCGGCATTTGCGATGCTCCCCCTGAGTTTCTGACGTATTATCTTGCCTTGATGCATCAGCACTTGGTGCACCAGCAGTTTCATGTATTTCCATTTAAGCTCCCATGCAATTTTATTACAAGAAGCAGTCTTTTCTTCTTATTCAAAAATCTTATCTCCAGGGGATGGAGCACTGGCTCAGTACAAGCACTGCTAGCTGCGTTTCCAGGGGTCTTGAGTTCAATTCCCAGCAACTACATGGTAGCTCACAACCATCTATAATCCAATGCCCTCTTCTGGTGTGCAGGCATACATGGAAACAAAGCACGTGTGTGCATAAAATATATAAATAAACTTAAAAAATCTTTTCTACATATGCAACCCCAATATTTTGCCTATTTAATGTATAATTGAAATGACTAGGAACTGCTATCTTTTGTCCCATTAAAACCACTCTCACTAAAAAACAAAAATAGTCTCAGGGTTTGGAATTATTAGAACTTGCAATTTTTGTAGCTATTGGTGTTGACAATATAGTGATCTATCTCCACAGCTTCCAATGGTCTAGACTAACGATATAATTTACAATTTGTCAAATTAAGCTTAAGTGCTGCCTGCTTTATTTTTAATTTTTAGACTTGAAACATCATATTCCCCTTCTACTAAAGAAGCAGAAAGGAAAAGGAAAGAGTTGTTTTCAATGGTCTCAGATCAACCAAATCATGAAAAAGAATTAAACAAGGTATGGAATATGACGAGGTCCATTCTTCCAGCTCTAAAGTCTCTGCATAAAATTGGCTTTAAAATCTTCCTTCTCGATCCCTTCTTTTTCCTGCTGTATTTTCTCTGAAAGAAATAATCTGCCAAGCGGATAATTCTGATATTCTGTGTGAACATAAATCTTGAATTATTCTGCCAGCGGGAGACTGCAGATGAAATGTGGAGGCGTGCCTTCTGAGAGAGCCCAGACTGATGCTCAGCATGTGGGTGACCTTGGGGGACCTGCCTGCAAGCCTCATCTAGGATGGGGTGGTTAGTACTACAGACATAGTGAATGAATGTCTGCCACTCCAGATAGGGCATTGACTCTAGACCAAAGGATTCCACTCAAGGCTCATTTGGTAAACTAATGAGCTTATCAATTACCTACAGAAGGGGGAGGTGCATATTTATAGGATCATGTGGGATTCGGAGGCAGTTACATCACTGAAAAGCAGGAGGGTGATGTATCACAGAAGCTGCAACTCTCTTAGCTGGCAACTCCGCTGCAGTGTCCTGGTCCCAGCAACTGTTAACTACTTTGGGGATCTTACAACTTTAGGGTACCCTGGACCTTCCCTTGCAGGGGTTTGTTAGTTTCCTGAGTCTTGTGAGCTCTGTTTTCAGTGCAGAAGGGAATGTTTCAACTCAGAGGAAACAAAAACACTACTTCCAACCCCCTGAGGTTATGATGGGATGAAATGAGCCAATGTCTGCTGACACTGTTGTGGCATGTGCCAGGAACAAACTGTCCCAAAGATTTAACAAAGCCTACGTCACTCAGTCCTCATGATCATCTTTAAAAATGGGATCTATGTCTTCCTCTTTTTGCATTAGAGGAAACTAAGGCACAGGGAAGTTGACTGGATTTCCCTACATTATACAGATAAGTGGTAGATGAAAGTTTTGAATGTAGGCTGTCTCACCCCACAGACATGTAAAACATGCCTAAATCTGTTCAAAGTTCATGAGCTAATGCAAGTCACATGCTTAGAAAGAGCGTGGCTCAGAACAACAGCTGACAGATGTGGCCTAGTTGTGGTTTGAGTCACACTCACATTTCTGAGGGCCCATAGTGGACCAAGCACTCCTCCAGGGGTTAAAAACCTAAGATGAGGAGGGTCTGGGCATGGTTCATATGGAGCCTGCAGTTCTTCATCCTTTTACAACCAATATATTTTCCTTGTAATTATTCTACCAGTTTCAATAGGAAATCTGCTGTAATGACAGATCCTGACTGGATGCGGTAATTCACACCAATAATCCTAACACTGGTGGAGGTTGAGGCAGACTCTGCGGGACAGAGAGAGGCCAGGGCACACATCTCCAGGCCCCTAGAGGCCCAGGCAGCAGTGCTGTGCAGTGCGATAATGGATGGCTGGGGTAACTAGCTGCAGCTTCCAGAAGTATCTACAAAGAGCATTTCCATTCCTTTGTAAGGACACTAACAAGTGCCGTGCACTATGAGTCTTGTGAGTGGTTTTTCTTTTGTGGGTCCAGAGCTGTTTTTAGTCATTTACTTTGTGATAAAATTCACATTTTAAAAAAGGATGTCACTGGAAGCAGATAAATCAATCCCATTTAGAAACACTCTCTATGGAAGAGCATGTTGTTTTAATATCTAACCACTGTAAACTAATAAAAAAAAATCTCAATCCTCTTTCAGAATAGCATATTCATTTTCTTAACTTTCTGAGTTTCTGAGTTTCACCACAGGGACATAGAGAGTAAAATCCAGCCTGCAAACTGCAGACAATACAGCTGGTTCACCAAGTAAACTGTAAGGACGAAAAATAGAGAGGGGGGATCAAAGAGATTCAGAGGGAGTAACCAAGATGGCCCAGTGGATAGAGGGACTTGGTGCTAAGGGCTTGATGACCTGAGTTCTAGCTCCAAGACTTATGGTAGAAGGAGTGAACCAACACCTATGAGTTCTCTGAACCTCTACGTGTGTGCCGTAGCAGGCATATGAACACACTAACAAATGTAATTTAAAGAGACCCATCACATATTCTGGGTTTAGGTCCCATCACCGAGACTCTTGCTTTGGGGAGCTGGACAACACACCTCAGCTCCTGTTTGCTGAATGGAAAAGTTAAGACCAAGTGATTTCTTTTTGTTTGTTTGTTTGGTTGGTTGGTTTTTTTTCATCTTTTTTTTTTATTTGAATTAGAAACAAGATTGTTTTACATGAAAATCCCAGTTCCCTCTCCCTCCCCTCCTCCCCTACAGCCCCCCCAACTAAAACCCTACCTATCACATATCCTTTCTGCTCCCCCCTGGAGGGTGAGGCCTTCCATAGGGGGTCATCAGAGTCTGCCATATCCTTTGGGATGGGGCCTAGGCCCACTCCCGTGTAAGACCATGTGATTTCTAAGTCTTAGTATTGGAGCAGGACCAGATAAGAAGTGGGTGGAGCCTTGCCCAGGATGCAGCACATTGGCATCTGGACAACCTCTGCATTAGGTCGTCTTTCTCTGGGTGTCAGTCCTAAACCCTGGCCATCCCAGAGTGCAACCCACCATGGATGGGGACACAGGTTCTAGGAAGTGACTGCCTTTCTTGAGGACTGTAACTAGAACGTGAAATTATGGGATTGGAGGGAAAGACTAGATACACACAAAGACAGCCAGGTGGGCATGGTAAGATCCTAATTCAGTTTCATAAACTTAAAGAGCATTGGAGTTTTGGGCCAATTTCACATTTGATTCTGCCTGATATGAAAGAACAGACTGTTAAGACACTATAAAGGGTATTCTGGGGGAAGAGAGAAGGACAGAAAAGGGGAGAGGGCCCCTTAAAGAGGAAATAGAAACAGCCATTTCTCACCTTCTAAGTGTTCAGGTATATTCATAAAAGTCTCTGTGCATTTTCTTGATTTCCCTCTCTGGCCTTATCTCTTGGAGCACAGATGATTTAAACACTCTAAGCTTACTCAGTGAACACAGCTCTCTGGCCCACCCTTGGCTGCCGCCTTTGCCTGGGAGTCCATCTTGTCCAGGATTTCTGGCTTCCATCTACCCTTCAGTATTTTGTCTCCTTTGGAAGGTCCATCCTGATACAAGCTGCCCACCTCCCAGCAGGTTAGGCACCCTCCAGGACATTCCTCAAGCATGTCACTACACTGTACTATAAATATCTGTTTATTTTTATCCCCCTACCCCATATGTGTGTGTTCTGAGAGAAGGATGGTTGTGTGATTTAATCTCTGACCCCCAAGGGTAAGATACAGTGAGTAATCTTTTTGTTGTTGTTTTTGGTTTTTGTTGTTGTTGTTGTTTAAGACAGGGTTTATCTGTGTAACAGTCCTGACTGTCCTTGAACTTACTTTGTACTAGGTTGGCCTCAAACTTACTAATATCAAACTGCCTCTGCCTCCCAAGTGCTGGAATTAAAGGTGTGCACTACCACACCTGGCTAACTGCTTACTTGAAACTTTAAGCAATGGACTTTAGGGGTTGGGAGAGAACTGTGAATTTAGTGAGCTGTTTGTTGGTCAGTACTAGTCAGAAAGGAGGTGCCATGGGTCACAGACATTCTCAGGAGAGAAGGACTGAGGGAGTCCAGCACAAGCCGCAGCTGCCCTGTGAGAAGGGCGGTTCATGTTTCTGGGTCACTCTCCCTGCAGATTAGAAGCCAGATGTATCAGGAGGAAGACCGATGCACTGAACAGGAACGCATGAGGATTGAGATCTCCGACCTCACGCAGGAACTTCACCGGAAGGAGATGACTATAGCAACTGTCATGAAGAAAGCTGCCCTTCTGGAAAGGCAGCTAAAGATAGAATTAGAAATTAAAGAAAAAATGTTAACCAAGCAACAGGTATGCGGGCAAGAAAACACTTTCCAGGGCTTGACTGTTGCTCAATGCTCATCCTAGCCCTCCTCCTGCACTGTCAAGAAAGAGCCTTGGGTGCCCCTGGGTCAATGTTTGACACCTGGTGACAGAGATACCTTGTGGTACCCCCTTAAGGCCCGTGCCATGCCACAAAGTATCATCAAAGGAACACTAGAGACCTACAGGACCACACATGCAAGGGCAACCAGTCCCATGCTGACCCTCCCCTGTAGCTGTCTTCCCACACCTCATACAGCCTGCTTCCTTCTGCAGTTGTTTTCAGTAGGACCTTTCCACTAACACTCTGCCCACATACACACACACACACACACACACACACACACACACACACATAATGTATTGCCATTAGTGTTTTAAACATAGAGGCTACAGAATAAAAGTTGACCCATATTTACTAAACATCCATTCAGCATACAGTATGTCCTCAGAGACAAGCAGACATTTCGAGTTTCTACAGTTAAGACACTGCAAGGAGCCAGGCATTGGTGTTGCACACCTTTAATCCCAGCACTCTGGAGGCAGAGGCAGGCGGATCTCTGTGAGTTCGGGGCCAGCCTAGTCTACAGAGCGAGTGCCAAGAAACCCTGTCTCGGAAAAAAAGAAAAAAAGACACTGCAAGGGATGCTCATGCCCACCCTCCCTCCTATTTATGTTTTAAAGTTCCCTGCTTTCTTGTGACTAACCAAATTTGTAACCTGCTTTTAACAGCACAGGCTTTATGGCCTTTTCACTCTAAATCTAAGTGATTTTGGAGCACAAAACATGAACCAAGACAATCTCCACAACAACAGTTAAATCGTGTATGTGTATTTACAAAAAGGAAAGATTAGGCCTCCATCCAGTCATAGGCCTTAGACTGTACCACACACAGGAGAACAGCAACAGGGCAGGCACTACCTGGGCAGAAGACTGTGCAGATGGCCAGAGTGAGCAGCTGCACATGAATGACACTCATTTTCGTTTTCATATTGCCATGTTTCCTAGACTTTGTCAATGAGCGTATATTCTATAATTTACAAAAGTAAATCTTTTTAAAGCAAGAGTTTGAAATCGAAATGAACCTTAGATACACAAAAGAGCAGGCCAGGAATGCAGGCACTCATCAGTCATTCAGGGAGACATCAGGGAAAGAAAAAGATACAAAATGAAGTCATAGGCAAGCAAGGAAACGCGGCCAAAACACCAGAAGGAACAAATTAAGCCATATACTGCTTGCTGTAAAAGTTAATCGGGCGTTGAAGAAGCCTAATGAGCGGTCTCTTCAAGAAGGGCTTTAACAATCGTGACTCTTCTGGCTATAGTTCCTATACATGAGAAATGGAATTTCGGACTTGGCAGGAAAAAAGTAAATCATTATTTAGGTGTTTTAAATCTAGCACTGCTGAAACAGGAGGCAAGGCCAGGAGAGGGAACTGGGGCCCCGACTGGCTTTGCACCCACCCACGGGACAGAGCTAATGATCAAGATGACAAGTTCCCTTGTAAGTTTCACGTGTGTCTTTTATCTACGAATCTTTCAGGTCTCGGATATGAAATACAAAGCTGTCCGAACAGAAAACACACACCTGAAAGGAATGATGGGAGACTTAGACCCTGCACGGTACTTGGTAATGCGCTGAATTCACTCCCCCAAACTGAACAGGAGGCGGTTGTCTGGTCAGGGCTGACATGCAGCCTGGTCACTGAGCATGCGCATCAGAGCTGGGCGCTACCTTCCCGCAGTGGCCTTCCCAAGCTGACACACTTGCTTTGGGCTCAGTTCTGATCACTTCCCAGACATACAAAGCATGTAGTTTCGTTTTAATCCTGAAACCCTATACCCTAGACGGCCCGACTTTACTGCCAACCTTATGGTCAGTGAAGCCCTCCCCGCAAACCCGAATCAAAACAATTAGGTCCATCCTTGCTGGGTTCATATTTGGCTCTGACTTGTTTTGTGGTTTGCCCCTTTCAATTGGATGACAAGCAGGAAGTTGGCATGACCAACAGCTCAGGACATCCGGTACAAAGCAAGCTTTTGGTGTTTGTTGACTAAATACATGAATTAGGCCCTGGCTCTACCTGCTCTTCCAAACAAGTTAAATGGCTCCAAGCCTCTCATTCCCGTTGTCTGATGGAGCAGTCGACTGTAGGTTTTTGAAGAACTTTCGTTGTTTGAAATATTAGCATTATTTGTTATCTTTTCATTTATTCACTCAGAAAAAAAAATCCTACCGTTATTTATTTTTTAACTGTTCAAGGAACAGAAAGTGTAAGACAGGAAAATTTGAGCATCATGGTTGCTTAAGCTGGCTGCCCTGTCCCTTTAGCCATAATGTGAGCAAGTGGGTCGAGGCCTCGGCCAGGCCCCTTCTGAAGCCAATGTTGTATTTCTATCATGTTGTGCACCTGTTCTCACACGAGTCCGTATTCCAGCATGAAGACAGTAGAAGGACCTGGAAGCACTCTGAGCATTGCTGTGGACCTTGTGACTGGAGCACAGATGGATAAAAAGGGAAGCTTGCTGGTCTCCCTACCTGCTACATTAAAAACCTGCCCATCATCTCTGCATTTTCATTCCCTAATTTGGGACACACAAAACTTAAAGCAGCTCCCAGCTTGCAAGTGTTTGTCTGATTAGATCCCAGGTCACCATAGCCCTGCTGAGGGCCTTCACTCTGCTCCTGTAGACTTTTGGCTTTGTTCATTATGGTATTTGTTTTTGTTTTTGTTTTTAAGAACTAAAACTCACAAAGATATATAAAGCAACCACTAATTACCCACACCCCTTCCCCTAGTCTCACTTGGGCAGCAGAGGGCTCTGTGCTGGCAAGTAAGTGGTGGCTCCTATAGCTTTTTCCTGACCATTCCCACAGATAAGGTAGGGAGATGGTGTCTCCTACACTATAGATGTGAAACTCAAGTGGTGCCCAGAGCTGACCTCCAGCCGTGTGTGCACAGCAGTACAGGCCAGCAAGTCCTTGGAAAATGTACATAGCTGTCTATGACTTATCTACATTGTGCATGCAGGTGACTCCAGAGCTTGCCTCCCTGCTTTCGTCTCTCCACCTCCTTCTTCCACATCTAGTCCCATGTGCCAGTGTGCAGTGACTACTCATTTGCATCTATCACTTTGCATATCCACACACCCATGTAAACACACATTTGTGCTTACTTGAGGATTTTATCATTAAAATAATAAAGGGTCACAGGGATAGAGGGATGGCTCAGAATTTAAGAGCATTTGCTGCTCTGTCTAGGATCTGATTCAGTTCCCCTCCCCCCCACAGCAGCTCCCAGCTACCTGACAAGCCCAGTTCCAGAGTATCTGATGTCATCTTCTGATCCCTTCAGGGCACACAAACATACACACAGAGATACATATAATTATTTTTTTAAAAAAACTAGGTTCCCATACCTCTGCATGTCACACTTCTGTGTGTTTTATTTTTGTTTGTGCTAATAGGCCTTCCACACCAACTGGCTCAAGCATATTCTGCCCTTGATAGCATTGGTTAATATCCCATGGCGTTGATATATCCAAACTTATTAGACTGTTTTTCCTAAGTAATTTAGTGTATTTGACTCTGTCTTCATATTTTTTCCTGGATAAATAGTTCATAAAACATCCCAACATGTATATCTTGGAGCAGTTCCCCAGAGGAGGAACCACTGGCTCACAGGATATGTGTTTTAATGTTAATATCTTCATCATGGCCTATTTCTGCTTCATCACTATGCTTTCTTGTTGCCACTACTGTTACTACACTTTTTCAATAGTTCCCATAGTTTACTGCATTAGTTGGTAGTTTGTGGTACTATGAATTAGATACACGTTATGTATATTTTCTGTGATGTTAGTTCTTTTTCTTGACAATTTATAGAAGCATTTTCAAAGTCTGTTTTCTGTAACTTTATATTTTTGCCATACAAGAAGTTTTAAACTTTGACTTGCCAAAAATCACTCTCTCAGTGGGTATATGTGGACCTTCCTTCTTTGATAGCAGGGTTTTCCACATCTACATATACAATTTTGTATTTTTCAGAGGTTTTATATTTTCCATATAATTGTTCAATCCATTTAAATTGTTCTTTAAAATGCAATGTGTAATAGCTCAGTTAAAATTTTCATGTAGACTAAGCTCAAGGCACCAGGTTTCTCCTTGTAATTTCCCATGGATTCTATCTGGAATTGAATTCATTTTTGTGTTAACTTTGAAGACAAAGCTTTTATTATAGTAAGATATAGCATAATTCCCCATTTCTTCATAATATATTTCCCAGTAATGCAATTGTCTTTGAATAGTTCCTGTTTCCTTCCTTTAAAATTATTTCCCAAGTTATTTACAATTCTTGTCACTGTTATAAATGGAATATCTTGCTTTTACCACATGAAGCAGCTAATATAGAAGAAGGTCCAGTTAGTTTATTCCCTCTAGAGCAGTGCTTTTCAACCTTCCTAATGCTGAGACCCTTTAATACAGTTCTTATGCTGTGATGACCCCAACCATAATATCATTTCGTTGCTACTTTGTAACTGTAATTTTGCTACTGTCAGGAATCCTAATGTAAATATCTGATATTTCCAGTGGTTTAAGGTGACCCTCAAAGGGGTCATGATCCACAGGTTGAGAACTGCTGTTCTAGAAGGAACTTTCCTAATGTAGTTTAGCTCTCTGACTCTCTCTTCTTTTCCAGTGTTCACACCTGTTCTTGTCATTGTCAGAACGCCCTTGCTAAGACCTCCAAGAAAATCTAAGTCATGGCAGTACTTGCTGGCAAATTTTCTAGTTTCTGACTATAAATGTCACACTTTTGGAGTTTTTCGGGGTGTAAATTTGTTTTCAGTTCATGATCCTGTGCTGTTCTTTCTGCACTATTATGAAATGTAGCTGCCCCTGCTTGCCAGGGCCTTTCCCACAGAGGTGACACTGTGAGTCTTCCCTTTGTATTTGTTGATGTGTCAGACACTATGGTTGACATATTTCCCAGTTCTCATCCAAATTTGGGTTCCTGGAATAAATCTTCCCAGTTCTAAATTAGCTTGATATCACCGTGTGTTTGCTGAGAGCAGCAGAACTCTGGGAGGAGGCTACAAGTCCCAAACAGATGTCCTTGGGCCATGCTCCCTCTAAGTTCTGTGCAGGAGGTTTCTGCTCATCCCACCCTCCTCCCTTCCCTCCCTCCCTCCCTCCCTCCCTCTCTCTCCCTCTCCTCCCCTCCCCTCCCTCCCTCCTTCCCTCCCTCTCTGCTGGCCTATGACAGTCTTTGGTGTCCCGGGCAGAAAAGTGCCTCAAACCAGCACTTAGTCTCAATGTGCTGTAGTCCCCATGTCTGACTGGTCCCTTGATGCTCAGAAAGTCAGATTTTCCTTTCCTTGGGGTGTTCACTTCAGGTCCACCACCTCTGTGAAGACCCTATTTTGAAATAGGTCATATTATGAGGGACTAGAGGTTAGGACTTCAGCAGGCTTTTGAAGGGTGCCTCAATTCAACCCATAGTAGTCATAGTCTGTGAGGGTTAGTGCATTCCTGGGTCAGTGGACCGGTACTTTGTTTAAAGTGAGGGCTGTCCATAGCTCTCTGTACTTATTTTTAAGCCCACACAGGTTCCTGACTCTGGGTGTCTAGAAACTGTTAAATAATAAAGTACTGGTCTTAGTGACTGAAAGTTGGAGCAAACAGACCAGCCCAGACATGAAGGCACTCCCTTTGCCTCTTCCTCTTGGCTTATTCAAATATTTTTACTTTTTCTAAGGGCATTTGGATAATCTGTATCTTATTACAAAATATGCTCATTTCAGTTTGTTTCCTTAGTACTGAAGTTAGAGCCAACAACTTTATTCCTCTCCCATATTCCAAGTTTTATTGTTAAGTTTTCTTGGTTGAGACAGGGTTGAACTATTTATCCAAGTTGGTCCTTGAACTCCTGCATCAGCTTCCTGTGTGTCATCGTTACAGATGTGAACTGTTGCGCTCAGTTCTGGTTTTAGTTTCCTTTCTTGCTCTTGGGCTTGGGTAGTTGAATACAGTCTCTTCAACTTGTTTTAATTATGACTCACAAGTTTATTTTACTGACACATTTATTTTTTAAATTTTTTCTACTTTTTATTTAAATTAGAAACAAGCTTGTTTTACATGTCAATCCCAGTTCCCTCTTCCTCCCCTCCTCCTCTGCCCCCACTGACCCCCTATCCTATCCCATCTTCTTTCTCCTCCCCAGGGAGAGCCAGGCCTTCCATGGGGGATCTTCAAAGCCTGTCACATCTTTTGGAGTAGAGCCTAGACCCTCCCCCATGTGTCTAGGCTGAGACAGTATCCCTCTATGTGGAATGGTCTCCCAAAGTCCATTCATATTCTAGGGATAAATACTGATCTACTACCAGAGGCCCCACAGACTGCCGAGGGCTCCTCACTGACACCCAAGTTCAGGGGGGTCTGGATCAGTCCTATGCTGGTTTCTCAGCTATCAGTCTGGGGCCCATGAGATTTTTTAAAATTTTCTAACCTTTATTTTTATTTTGTGTGTATGATTGTTTTGCCTCCATCCATGTCTGTGGACCACATGTGTGCAGTGCCTGTGGAGGCCAGAATAGAGCATCAGATCCCCTGGGACTGGAGTTACAGATGATTGTGAGCCACTGTGTGGTTGCTGGGAACTGAACCCTGAGTCCTCTGGAAGACCAGCCAGAGCTCTCAACTGCTGAGCCATCTCTCCAGGCCTATTTAATTTATTATTAGAGCTTATCAATTTCTTATTTCTTTTTTATTTTACTTTGTTAAACTTTTCAAATGTTATGAAATGAAGGAAACTCTATTCTTATGTATTAAAGTTCTGTAAGTACAAAAAAATCCAATAGATAATTATTTCAGCAATGATTGGAATACATAACTATGAAATTAAATGATTAGAGCTGAAATTTCACCTTAGGTAGAAAGAAACAAGATATATACATCATTATTTTCAAATACTCCTAATATTTGACATATTTGAGTACTATTAAAATAGTAGTTTTTTTTTCTTTTTATTGTTTTTACTTGCATGTATGTTTGTGTATCACATGTATGTAGTGCATGCAGAAGTCAGACGGTGTCTGATCCCTCAGAACTGGGGCTAAGGAGTAAGGATAGTTATTAGTTGTCACGTGCATGCTGGGAACCAAATCTAGGTTCTCTGCTAGAGCAGCAAGTGCTCTTAGCCACTGAGCTATTATTGCTCCAGCTCCAGTATTTCTGTGCTAGACAAGGAAATCACTGATCTTGATTGGTCCTATCTAATTAAATACAGATTTGAGAACGTTTCTGGTTGCCTAATTCTGAAGCTCTTTGCTTCCTTCCATTGAAGAGAAGAAAGTTAATCAGAAATACCCGGGGTGGGGGTGGGGTGAGGAAGCTCTTTGCAGGCCACTGCCTTGTAGGCAGCTTGCTTTAGCTGTAGAGAAATGTTGGCTGGGTCAGCCACAGGGTGGCTAAGTTTCTCCAGGTCTCAGTGAGCTGCTTAGATGACTGCCTCAGAGTCTTCACCCAGAATTCAGACCTCCCTCTGCATTTCCTAAACTCTCATAGTATGCAAGAAAACAGTAAGTAGACTCAGCCTTTGGCACAAAACAAAACAAGTAAACATTTTAATAGCCTATATGTACATATTGCATAAGCATATTTACAAGCTTATGTTCAGTTTTGATATTTATATGATGATATGAATGATTACCGATATTAGCTATTTGAAAATGTGGGAAAGTTGGGAGTGACTTTGAGTGTTATTCTATGTGAGTGGATCTCAAAGCTTGAGAATTGAGGGACTTCAAAAACAAAAGCCTGAGCTCCAATCACTTAGTTTTTAAGGGCTTGAATTCCAAATGTTGCTCAAGCCAAGCATTTTATGCTATGGTATTGCCCTTCTGACCCCAGAGAACTATTGGGCTGTCAGTCAGCCACAATGCAGATTGGGATAGTCAATTCACAGGACTGGACAGAGGCAGACAAGAGAGTGTCACACAGAGCTTTTCCACAAATTACTGTGTCAGAATAGTCTATCCTACAAAGCTTTATGAGAACAGTATGTGTGCTCTCTCTCTTGAGTGTTCGTGTGCGTGCGTGCATGCGCGTACGGGTTCGCGCGCGCGCACACACACCACACACACACACACACACACACACACACACACACACACACACACAGCTCTGGAAACTTCCTACAGTGTTTAATTAAAACAGCCTGAGAAATCTCTAAGCCTCTTGCTTAAACCATTTATTTTGTAATTTAAATGTATTTTGTTTTATATTCTGGAGACGGTGCCTTAATAGATCAGGTAGCAATTCACTACTATAAAAGGACATTGCTCCAAATGTGCAATGTTGGCTCAGTCTCAACTGCAAGATCAATGCAGCAAAATAGTCCAGATTCCTATCCCAGTCCACATAAATTCAGCATGTAATTTGTTACGTCATCCAGCAGTGGCCCATGAATATTTTAATCAATATGCGATTGGAATAATTGGAATAATTTATTATTTTTACTGTCTTCTCTACTTTTATAGAAAAATTAACTCAAAATAAGCTAAAGAATTAAAGTGAAATAATGAAATCATAAAAAAATAGAAGAAAGTGAAAGTAAATATTTAATAGCTCTTAAAAAAAGAAAATTGGAGTGTGAGGCAAAAAGGGAGCAAGGGAAAGATGACATAATTAAAACAACAAAACTCAAAGTACCCTTCTAGATAAAACTCGTCATGCACCACAATTAAAACTTTATGAGTATCTTCTAACAACCGCACAAAGCATACTTTCAACCAACTGGAGAAACACTGGATTTCTGCCTCTAGTGTTAAAATATATTTCGATATTGGTAAGCAGAAACCCCTAAGTGGGAAGATGACCAATGAGAATACACGAAGCAACTGAGACTACATAGAGTAAAAATTGCCAAAAGAACACGAATACATGTTCAACCTCAGTGATAAAGGCTGCCGTTTATTTACCATTAATAAATACTACCAATAGTAGTATTAAATTGTGAATGCAATACAGGAAGATCTTTAGCCTATTGTTGGTGGGAATTTATGATAGTCTTTGAATGAGTGTGCGAGTGTGTGTGTGTGTGCACGTGCCCTTAGAGACCAGAAAAGGGCATCAAATCCCTTAGAGTTACAGTTACAAGTGGTTGTGAGATGCCCGTGTGGATGCTGGGAACTGAACACTGGTCCTTTGGATGAGTAGCAAGTGTTCCTAACCTCTGAGCTATCTCTCCAGCTGTAATTATGAGAGTAATGAGGGGGATTAGCACTTCCCACTGAGGTCCTCAGTGACATTCATTCAGTTTATTCTCATGTTCTAAAGGAATACCAGTGAAGGTCTGTGTGTGAGCAAGTCACAGTGCCATTGATGATTTCTGAAACACCCAATTTTCAAGGAAAGGAGTGATTAAATAAATTTTGCAACTCTTTAATGCAGCTATTAAAAGTCTTCTAAAATATATTTTAATTAATTTATTAATATTAATACTTTATATTTAAAATGTTCAGAGGGAACAGAGAGTTCACAAAAAAACTATGTCACATAGCTCAAGTGAAAGGGCCTTCCCAACATATGAGTCCAAACATGTGGAAAACACACGTCATGTGTGAGGTCATTCAGTGGGGGTTTGTTTTACTCCTAGAGTATGGACTTTGCTGACAAGGAGCAGACACGGTACACATCGATTAACAAACTGGAGTATGAGAATGAAAGACTCCGAAATGATCTTGCAAAGCTCAGTGTCGATGGAAAGGCAGCATGGCCTAATCAGAGTAGTTATGATGAAGCAGGAACATACCCCTACCAGAGCCACCTGAAGATGGACACAAGCGGAGACAGGTATGCTGGCTTGGCCATCAAGAACAGACACTTAGAGATGCCTTGGGGAAAATTCACGAGTTTACATTTTATCTGGTAGTGATAACAGTGGAGTCTGGGCACACTGTTTCATAAGAAGAACACATTGGCAATAGCTGTTCAAATATAATGGTGAGAGTTCGTTCCTAGGGAGTTTTGTTTGCTAGTCA